TACTGAAGACCAATAAAAACAAAGGATTTATAGAAATGTTGGCCAACTGAAAAGTATGAACATGAAAAGTATGAGCATGTACAGCACTCAGTATTTAGTTGGGCCTCCTTTGGCCTGTATTACTGCAGCAATGCGGCGTGGCATGGAGTCGATTAGTCTGTGGCACTGCTCAGGTGTTATGATAGCCCAGGTTGCTCTAATAGTGGCTTTTAGCTCTTCTGAATTGTTGGGTCTGGTGTATTGCATCTTCTTCTTCACAATACCCCATAGATTTTCTATGGGGTTAAGGTCAGGAGAGTTTGCTGGCCAATTAAGAACAGGGATACCATGGTCCTTCAACCAGGTACTGGTAGCTTTGGCACTGTGTGCAGGTGCCAAGTCCTGTTGGAAAATGAAATCTGCATCTCCAAAAAGTTGGTCAGCTGCAGGAAGCATGAAGTGCTCTAAAACTTCCTGGTATGTGGCTGCGTTGACCCTGGACCTCAGAAAACACAATGGACCAACACCAGCAGATGACATGGCACCCCAAACCATCACTGACTGTGGAAACTTTACACTGGACTTCAAGCAACGTGGATGAAGTGCCTCTCTTCTTTTCCTCCAGACTCTGGGACCTTGATTTCCAAAGGAAATGCAAAATTTACTTTCATCAGAGAACATGACTTTGGACCACTCACCAGCAGTCCAGTCCTGTTTCTCTTAAGACGCTTCTGACGCTGTCTGTGGTTCAAGAGTGGCTTGACACAAGGAATGCGACAGCAGAAACCCATGTCTTTCATACGTCTGTGTGTGGTGGTTCTTGAAGCACTCACTCCAGCTGCAGTCCACTCTTTGTGAATCTCCCCCACATTTTTGAATGGGTTTTGTTTCACAATCCTCTCCAGGGTGCGGTTATCTCTCTTGCTTGTACACTTTTTTCGACCACATCTTTTCCTTCCCTTCGCCTCTCTATTAATGTGCTTGGACACTGAGCTCTGTGAACAGCCAGCCTCTTTAGCGATGACCTTTTGTGTCTTGCCCTCCTTGTGCAAGGTGTCGATGGTCGTCTTTTGGACAACTGTCAAGTCAGCAGTCTTCCCCATGATTGTGTAGCCTATAGAACTAGACTGAAAGACCATTTAAAGGCTTTTGCAGGTGGTTTGAGTTAATTAGCTGATTAGAGTGTGGCACCAGGGGCCATCAATTTTGAACCTTTTCACAATATTCTAATTTTCTGATATGATGAATTTGAGATTTTCATTTGTTGTCATTTGTAATCATCAAAATTAAACAAAATAAACATCTGAAATATATGAGTTTGTATGTAATGTATGAATATAATATACAAGTTTCACTTTTTAAATGGAATTACTGAAATCAATCTACTTTTTCATGATATTCTAATTTTATGACCAGCACCTGTAGATACTGCACTTTAAAAACACTCTGGTAAAAGTTGAAGTAATAACTTGACCTCTTTACTCAAGTGAAAGTGAAAAAGTATGTGCTCCAAAAACTACTTAAAGTATAAAAGTATAAAGTAACCTTTAAAAAACAGCCAGATGCCGCTATATGAACTCAAATTTTCAACTATTTCTCTAAATTCTCTGAGATAGGGCCAAGGATGAGGGAGGTCTTGTTGGTCTCCGTCTCCCGATACGCTCTCGCCTGTGTCCGACCTTTCAGACATTTCAACATCTTTTTCTGAATCCCATATTGTAGCATGGCATAGACAATTCACGTTAGCAGTTTGAAGAACACCTGCTTGTTTCTGATGATTTCCTTTAGCTAACCAATGAGTGTTTGCGTTCTATGACTCATCCAATCACACTAGTTTTCACTAGTTTGAAAATGTAAAGAGTAGAAGTAGGAAGAAATATAAATAATGAAGTATAGATACCGTACCTAAAAAGTGTACTTAAGTACAGTAACAAAACTTTGTTACTTTACCTCTGCTTTTTATGAATATTGAAGAAAAAAAAAATGTCTCCATGTAATCGAATTTATACAGAACCCCTAAAGGGACGCTGAAGAGAAAAAAAATAATGAAAAATTTCTTGTGCGCACCAGATACTTTCTCGCAGTATTTCGAAGAGTGTACATTAAAATGATGTAAATGAAATAATTAGGCTCTATTTTCCATCTGGGCTCCCATACAAAGACATCCCTGCAAATGTATCCTGTGGTCTATTTCGCCCCAATGGAAACACAAAAACTTGATTATTTTGTGACATTCAAACGCAACTGCTAACAACTGAACAGATTAAGATGGATGTTTACAAAATGTCTCCAAAATGGATTAAAAGTAAACAAAGAGATAGTTCTCTGATATGAGAAAGTATTTGGTTACAAGATTTTTTTCCCCCCTCTCTTTGGTGTAGATTTGAGTGGTTTGAGTAATTAGACATAAGTTTAAAGGAAAAGTCCACTTATATTCAGAATTCAAACTTCTGAAAGTTCTTTAAATCTGAAATGATTCCATCCCGTTCAATAAATGATCAGTGTTTTTAATTCAGAGTAATTTTCATGTGAATGTGCTTTACTGGAGGCATCCATGTTTGTCAAAGAACACTACTGCCCCCTACTGGTTAGTGACGTCACGGTGCGGTATCGGCTGTTTATCAAGTCCCAGTGCTGTATCTGGTGTTTGTCACAACGCGCTATTATCCAAGTCATCTTGAAAACATTCTTCTTCCAAATGTTGGCTACATATTACGGGTTTTTTCTCTGGCCAGAAGTTCGATGGCAAATCCTCCCTCTTCAAGTTGGCGATCCAACGACCAACCCGTCCGTGGAGGATCAGGAATCAGAAAGGTGGAATAACTCTTTCTTTCACTTTTACCCGATGTATTCCAGCATCCAGCTGCCATGCACGTGGGCATTGTCAGTTTCACTATAGCTCTGGTGAATTTCAATGGTGAAGTCCTCTGGAAATCTTCAATAATTGTTGTTGATTGCAGATGTGTCTAGTAGTTCCCATTGATTTAGCTTGTAAAGCGGGGAGAATGGCGCTAGGCTTACCGCACCGTGACGTCACTGCTGGAAGATGGCAGGAGGGAGGGGCTACTATATTTGGGCTAAAATGGCCACTCCCAGACTCAGGGATCGCAACGAAAATGACGCAAAATTCATTAAATCACAGCAAACGTATTAGTTTTAGGTTTAATGATGCATTGATTAGGACTTTTCCTTTAAAATTGTCGGGCCATTGGTCTCCCTCCACTGGAGAACAGCTCTGACATCATCAACAGGAGCCTCTTAGCACATAAAAAGCTTTATTGTCACATCAAGCCTTAACATGAACAAAGTTCAAGCTTAGAGCGTGGAAACTAGTCAGCAGTGTCACCAAGTAGAACAAATTCACCATCATAGAACCGAACATGAACTACCGAATATCTTCATTTAGCAGGGGGGTGGGGGGGTCTCGGAAAGAAGCATGACGCTGATGATGAAGGTGAAGAGGAGGATTTCTCTCCGTTTCTGTTCGTGATGCAGCTGGTGAGACGAGGGACACTAGAAACAATTCAGCAAAAAAGCGGATTTACAGTAAATCAGTGGATTCTCTGCTCAGGACGACATTCAGCTTTCACAAACACAACAGCGAAGCTGCAGAGGCCATCTGGGGAACGGCGGGGAATGTTCAGGAAATAAAAAATAAAAACGCCCTCAGAAAGCCGCTGCATGAAGCAAACAAACGTCCGAACACACCACGAGGAGTTTCCGCGCCTCCTCGTACATTCCTTGTATTGTAAACTGAACTCTGGGTGTAATACTTCAACGTTTCTTCATTCTACTGTAGTGATCATCACTTTTCACAAACATGTTTCCCGTGCGAAGGAATCACAGAGCGAACACCTTTACTGGAGGGTTTGGCGGCGAGGAGAAGCGGGAAAGAATGGAGGCGTCTGCAGAGGCCTGCATGCACTGCAGCTGGGGTGACGCAGGCGGGGAGCAGACGAGGTGCGGCCGCATCATGCAGGCCGACGGCACCGACACTGGAGTTAATCAGAGAGGTGAGGTCCTGGACCCAGAACCGCGCAGCATAGACGTCACTCTTTGCTCCCGTGTATCAAAGCAATAAATAAATACAAACATTCAACTTTCTTTTTTTTCTGTACTCTTTTTTTTTTTTGGGGGGGGGGCTGTTAGCAGCAGCCGCTTCACTCCTGAGGGTGTCAAACCGTGCGTGTGTTAGCCGTGCGCACGCTGCTGCTCTGTGGGCATCGTTAATCACCGTCTTCCCCAACTGAACCTGCCGCCGCCTTTGGACCGGAGCCACGCAGTTTCCATGGAGATGCTTTGAGCAGCATTTCATGTTCCATTAAATACTTTATATATACATAAAAATAGGATTTTCTCTATGAAATAACACCTTCCACTCTGGATATCTCTCAAAGTTTGAAAGAGGAGGAACTTTTCATTTAGCAAACGGCTCTAAAAAGTAAATTCTCCTTCATTTTTACTGGTTCTGAAGCCGCCGCTCCGGCTGATTACAGCAACGCAACACTTCTGTCTTTATCGACATGGAGGAGTAACACTGGGGGGGGGGGGATTAACCTTTTGAATGGGATCTGATCCTAAAGGGTGTGGTGTGTGTGGGTCTGTGAACATGTGGAAGCACCACTGAGGTGAGCAGTGGATGTGATGATATCATCTGCTGAGCAGCTGTGGGGATTCCCTGTCAGAGAGAGAAAGATTAAAGCCTTTTCTCTCCCCCGGCTCTATTCTCGTGTGTCTGTCTGGAAACACACGGGGTGGGTCTCTGACTCTTCCTCACACAGTGGAACACAGTGAGGCTCGGCGGCGTGGGCGGGCGCAGGAGACGGCGCTCATCCGGCCGGGATTTCGACAATCAATCTGCAGCAACGAAAGAAGGAAGCTGGAAGGAAAAAGAGGGACTAAAGGAGGCCTTTGTGACAGAGACGCACGCCGCCCACAGACTGCACAGCAGAGGAAGTCACACGGGTGGGAGATGGTTTCTGTGGCGCCCCCTGGTGGTGGAGGAGATCCTAAAATAAGCTTTAAGCGTTCTCCAGCAGCCACTGGAAGAGGGGGGGGTGCTGGGTTCCGGTGGCGGGCGGCGGCTGACGGAGGCTCTCCTCTTGGTAGCGCAGCAGCATGTGCAGCAGATCGGACACCTTCCACCTTCTCTCTCGGAGCTTCTGCACCACCGCCGGCAGCTGCAGGGACACAGTCACACGTCTCAGGTTAACGTGGATAAAACTAGTGAGAAATTTACAGGATTAGAGGAGAATCACAAAGTTTGCATAATACACATTAAATAGAGCAGAGGTAACCAATTAAAAATCAGCAGGGTCCAAATAAAGAAAGTCATCAACCAGTAAAGGTCCGGAGGAATTTTTAATTATAATCTTTTACTTTAAACAGAATTTAACAATGAAGTAAAATTAAATGTTTATGCATCCATGATATACTAGGGATTAGGGATGCACGATATTGGGATTTTGGCCGATATCCGATATTTTAAAACTCATGTAGCCGATAACCGATATCGATACTGATGTTGAAGCTGGACAAAAATAAGTAGTCATTGAAAATAGCAGTTTTGTTATCCATTTCTCACACTTTGAAAAATAATATACTCAAATATATTTTCATACGCTGATATCAAATAGATTTTTAAAAACGCGGTATCGATCTATTTTACTTTCAAAATCTGGTGAAATTTCATCGTTCTGTTACAAACTCTCGTGATATTTTGCAAATTCTTGTGAGATTTTGTTAGTAAAATAGATCGATACCGCGTCAATATATCAACATATAAAAATATGGCAACATTTGGTGAATTTTCGGGGGATTTCGTAGCATAACGATGACATATAGCAATATTTCATTAGTAAAAGAGATTGATATGGTGTTTTTAAATGGCAATATATCAGCATATGAAGATATTGGGATATTTTAATGGATCAATATTTTTTCCCTCGTCTTTAGCAGTTTTTAAGTCTGTAAAAAAGAAGTTTTTGAGGAGGAAGAAGTAGTATTTTATTTTTTTTAGACTTTAGAAACTCAGAAGCTGATCAAATATCGGGTTAAATATCGGTGGGGTGGCCGATGTCCGATATTCAGTTTTAAGGTCGATACCGATAGGGGGCCGATTATATCGTACATCCCTACTAGGGATGTAACGATATCAAAATCTCACGGTACGATATTTATTGCGATATTATGGAAAAGCTCACGGTACTGTTAAATAGCTCACGATAGTGTTTTTAATGATAATAGCAAAAAAAAAATTTTTTTTTGCTTTTGCCAGTCAAAAGGCAAATTGTTGTTGTATTTCTGGATCTTTCCAACATAAAACGCTGATCACATCGTGCTTTTAAAGTTGTAGTCAGGAACATCAATATTCTGTTGATTCTTCTGTGCAATGTTCCCGTTAAGAAGCAACCAGAACAATTGTAAACATTAGGGAATTCCCTTTAAGTGCAAACAAATATCAAGTTAAGTCAGGTTTAAATGTGCAAGGCAAGTAAAAGCAGCCTTTTAAAACTGGTATTTAGGAACATAACTTAAACTTAAATAAAATAGTCAAAAAGCCTTTTAAAAAAACACTGACCTATCAGTTAGCTTATGTTCACGTTTTTCATCAGAAAGATCAAAAGATCTACATTTCAAGAAAAAAAAAAAGCCTCCTTCAGGGTTTTTTGAACCGACAGGACATTCTATGTGAGACAATCTGCAAACTTTTCTGGATGATGAGTCGTCAGATGACTTTGCATATTGCTTGTGTTTCCCGTGTTGTATCGCAGTTTACTGTGGCAGTGCTAGCATATAGTTCACTGTCTGTCCACCACTTTCTCTCCTTTTGCGTTTTGTCAAAGTGTTCCAGCGTGTTTCAGTGTCTCATAACTTATCCAATGCATGCCAGAGTTTTTGTACATCAGGCATACGCTGGTCTAACTCATCAAGGTGTGACAGGAGCTTTAAGCAGCTTTGTCACCTTATGCATGAAGAGTCAGGAAGGAATGCCGACCATTAGTCCCACCCATCGTTTTAAAGCTCCTTTCCTGCCACTACCTGTCAATCATTGTTAGACTCGTCGCTGTCTTAATGTTTGGCTTGCTGAGAACGATGCTTGCCACTGCTATGTTTCTGTTGGCACTACTTTGTGTAGCGGAAGGCTACATGTATCATGATGGGAGCTGAAAACAAGCACACCCAACATGGCAACCTGAAACCCCAGAGGAATTTTATGTTTCACCAAAAAAAAAAAGGTTTACAGTTTTTATTTCTAAGTCTGTGACCGAAGAATGAACAAATCTGATGGATGGCACCCCTATGAGGAGCTACGTTATGAAAGAAACAATCCGGTTTCTTTTTTCTGTCAATTATTAGGAGCGTTGTAAAATAACTGTATTTTGAGCAGGTAAATAAGATGATCTACCAATGAAATTAGGATTTTTACCCTGACAATAAGATAATTAGATAAGATGCACTTAAAATGAGAGACTATTGTTGTTCTTGTCTTATTATAAATGTACTGGTTTTTAAACATGGGTTGACACGTTAACAATCAGCATCTGGCTTCTTCCCACTGGCTAATAAAGTTGGTCTAACCCCTCACTGGAAGCTGCATGGCCTCTGACCAATACTGCATGTTTGGTTACATCATCATGCTGTGTTAGTGTTGATGATGTCATAAAAGAAATCAGGAAAGTAAACAATAAAGAGTAAAATGTAAGGAAGCCAGGGCGTAGTCAGTGCGCTTTATAGTTTTGCTCTTTTATCTGTTTGAATCCAAAGAAGTTAGCTTTGAGTTCCAGGCAAATAGAAACGGATGAACGGGTCCCCCCCTTTGGAATGGGGGTCGTTTGGCTTCTTTGTTAGCCTGCAATGCCCCATACCTGTCTATGTCTCTGAAAGGGGGGTCGTTAGAGGGAATTGTTGGCCTGGCTGAATATGTGAGGTCTTTTGTTCAGCCTGTATGGGGGTGGGGGTTGCAATGATAGCAGGAAGGAATAACCTCAATTGCTGCATTGTAGGTTTTTGAAAGCTGAAACCCGAGTCCACCACCTCGGTTTAAGGTTGGTTTGTCTTTCAGAACATAAATGGCTTTCATCACGCCCCTTTCAAACCACCTTGTGTTTGGAGAAATTCCTCTTATAGCCCATTTACTCTACCCTTGAAAACCCAAACCATGCTGAGACCGGTCCGAGCTCGGATCAGTTAGCCAGGCCAAGCTCGGTTCTGACGACCGTTTACACTTTACGCTAGAGTCCTGCATGGGTCGAGTTTTACCAACCCGCACCCGCCCGAACCCGTTAGGATGACTACCGAACCCAACCCGTCACTCGCGGATATCTTCAATTCAAATCCGAACCCGATCTGACCCGTTGATATTTAACCCGCAACCTGACCCGTTAACACATCAAGTAATAGGCTATAGTACGCTGCGCTGCAGGACAGTGCCATTAACACTGCAGCAGACGTGTATGCACTGACTGTGGCCTTTTTGGAGGGAAGCCCACACTGCCGACAGGGCTTTAAGCTACAACAAGGGCGACCCCAGTGCCTGATTAATATAACATTTCTGAAGTCCATAACAATAGACACACATAAAAAAAATAAAAAAATCACCAACTACCCGCCCGCACTTAAAAAATATCCGCCCGACGCCTGACCCGTTTATTTTTATTTATGTATTTTTCACCCGCAAAAATGCTCTTTTGCGGGTTACCCGTCGGGTACCCGTTGCAGGACTGTACATCACGCTATCTCGCCTCATAGTGACGATCTGCGGTATTACTGCCAGTATTGAAGGAGGAAATCAAGCAGTTGGTGGCGGTAAAGCACCAAATGTTGTTTGCCAACCGCCATAAAACACAAGAAGAAGAAGACGTAGAAGGAGGGACTCAAGCGAATCAAAATGGCGGCGCCTGTCACCTTCAGAAAGTAATGCTTGATTATTATTGCTGTACTTCGGTGTTATTATTTAAAATGCCAATATTTAAAATGTTGCGTGGAGAAGATTTCGATTGTTGTTTATAGTTTAAGAAGAAGTTGTTCTCATTATCGCCAACTAGTGGAATGGAGTGTGAATCGGGATGTGCAGCCAGACGGAGATGACGCGTTCTGCTGATGCGCTCTCGTTATCAGAGAACCGAGCCAGGGAAAAACCGAGCCGAGCCCACCTCTGGAACTGGTCTGCAGTTAGCTCGGTCTGGTTGTGTCTAGCTCGGTTCAGTTCAGTTTGCTTTCCATTTACACACGATAAGTTATCTCAGTTACTGAGCTCGGACCGCTCTCGGCGCGGGTAGTGTAAATGGGGGTAGTAGCTTCAGCTACAGCATCTTAAATAAGCAGTCTGACTTCCAGCTCTTCCTTCAGACGTTAGAGTCCAATCATGACCCCAAGCGAGTGCTTCAGGAGCTGGAGGCAGTAGTAGCAGCTCAACAACAACTGATGGGTGAAGCCCAGGCAACAGGCCCCTAAAGCTCCAGCATCAGATCCCCTTCATCCAGGGTAAAAATCCCATTTGGATGCCAAGATCCTATACACAATGTTTTATAAATGGAACTGTCTATAGAGCTGTTCTAAACAAAATTTCTTTTTGTTACAGTTGTGTATACAAAATGACAAAATACACCCATAAGGAGGCTGGATCTGCTACCTGGACGATTCCACTAGACTGGCACACTCCCGGCTGAGTTCTGGAATGTCTTTTAGGTTCACAGCCTAATCTGGGCTGAATGGAAAACCATGTCTGGGAGGACTGGTACTGCAAACAGATCCTGCAGGTGTTACCGAACCCCATATATTCATTCATTTCTATCATCAGACCTCTGAGCTGCTGTATCCTCAGGGATTTGTGAATAAATTCCTGTGCTGATTTGTAAATATCTGAAGATTTATCAACACTTCTGGCAGGAAGCAACCTGCATGCCATGGCACTGCACCCGTCACGTCTGCAGTAAAGATGGATCTAACCCTTAAACCTAAAGTAGAATGAGACAGTGACCTCCTCCAGGGAGAGAGGCTTAAAGTCTCAGTGTTCCACAAAGTCTTCAGTGTTTTCCTGTGGAGCTTCGAGGCAGATGGCTTCTACAGCTCCAGCCCAGAGTGAGTCATTCCTCCCCGCTGTGCTTGCTCAGGATGAACTGAGATTTATAGATTTGATGGGTCTAATCGGTTGCAAAGGAGCTACTGCTGGAACAAACTGGACTTTGTAGATGTGCCTGCTATGGATGGCCTGAAGCTTCTGGAATGATTTAGCTAGGAATATTTCATAGGGTATCCACCCTGGTGGATCCCATCTTTAGGCTCTGCGCGGCGTAGGGGGGTCAGGGGGGATCCAAAAAAACAATCCACTGGACTTTGTTTTCCAAGTTTGAAGATGTTTCGCTTCCCATCCAGGAAGCTTTCTTAATTCAAAATGTCTGCATTAGCATTAAGTTCAAGGCTTTTATAGCGTAGCTCAGCAAAAGCCTTGTAATGGCTTAGAAAACATCCACCATGAAGCTGGAAAACCAGCTGCACCCCTTAATAATGGGAGACATTGAGGTCTTCATTGGCCTGCAAACCCGATACTGGCCCATTCCTCTGAAAAGGCAGTCGGTAAAGTCGTAGGGAAGCGGCCGTTCCAACCGTTGCATTTCCGTATTCTCCAGAGTGGTGCCCGACTTTGAATACAGTGAATGTGATTGGTCGTTTATCAAGGGGGCGGGATTGTTGTGATGGAAGGTTTGCAATCAAGTCTGGTTTTGGTCAGTTTGCTGCTAACCAGTTAGCATCTTAGTGCTAGCAGGTTCCTAATGGGAAATTCCATTGGGACCAAGTAGCACTAAATTGGTGACTTAGAAACGACGCTGTCAAGGAACGCTATGGACAGAGTAAACATGCAAGAGGAGGAGAGTTTAGTGTCGGAGGTCGTGGATGAGTCTCCTCCGTCATCCAGTTTTTATTTAGAGGAGGAAAGCGGGGACGAAGATGTTGTGGAAGAGGACGCCAGGGCGGCAGAAGCTTGGTTTGGTGTAGAAGGCTTCCAGCCGTACATGTTTGAGCCCTTGCCTCGCAACGCTGCCAGTTCTGTTAGCTCTACGCCTGCCGAAGACACAGACGTCCATCCCCGTGAACACTGGGACGCAACTCAATGGGAAAGGAAAGGATTCTGATTTCAACCGTTGCGTATATTAGCTGCAACATATGAATCAAGATGCTATGACCAAAAACATTTGAATCACAGATGACCGCTGATATATGATTGGCCGAATTTAGGTGTTCAGGCTGACGTAGAACTAACTGGCCTGCAGAAGATAACGGAATAAAAAAAACAGATTTTAAGACAGGAATGACTTTTTTATAGAAATTGTCTAAATTTTGGGACAATATGACCTCCCTACAACTTTAAGGGTTATTGTTGGCCTGGCTCACCTGGCAAGATATTTTGTTCCCCTGCATAGCGACGGGGGTTGCGATGGTATTGGGAAGCAATCAACTGTATCGCTGCGTTGTAGGTTTTTGAGAGCTGAAACCTGAGTCCCCCCCCTCTGTTTAAGGTTTTTGACATAAATGCCTTCCTTCATGCCCCTCTCAAACCACTTGTCTTGTTTGTCCAAAATGTGAACATTCTGGTCCTCAAACGAATGTCCTTTGTCCTTAACGTGTAGGTGGACAGCAGAGTCTTGTCCAGAGGAGGTAGCCCGTCTGTGTTGAGCCATGCGTTTGTGGAGAGGTTGTTTGGTTTCTCCAATATAAAGCTCATGTGTTTTAAATTTAATTTAAATTTTTGCAATGACTATGACCTGGATGACTGAGAATCTTCACCAGCATTTATACTCTCTAGAACAATATTTCAATTTCAGTTAAATTTTTCCAACTCCAGCAGCTGCTGCTTCTGAAATTTTGAACATTTGCGCAAAGTTTACAGGGCTAAAAAAGTGCGTACTAAAGTTATACATTCCAAAAACAGGGCGTAAATTAGTAATTTTTTCAGTAAAAGGTTCTACACTGGAAAAACGATCTAGAAATATCAAAAAATGTCTTAAATTAAGTGTATTTACCCTTAATTTGAGTAGGTAATTGAGATGGTTTGCGTATATATAATGAGTATTTTTACTCTTAAAATAAGATAATTATATAATATGCAGTTTAAATAAGACAATGCAATTGAGTTTTCTTATTTCAAGTGTAAATTGTCTTGTTCCATTGGCCAGATGTTTCCTTTATCTCCTCAATCCAAGAACAAATACACTAATTTTAAGAAAAAATGACTTATCTAGATTTCTATCTTTTCCAATGTACGCCCATATACATTGCTAGCTAAAAGCCTGATGACGTGATGCCCTCTGAGTCATTTCAGTGATTTGGTGCATCGTGTCAGAGTGGGTGTGGTGATGTGTTCACCTGCTGCAGCTCTCTGCCAACATCCAGCTGGATCTGAGGGACGTCAACCACAGAGGCCGCCGCCCACTGCAGCATGCTCCTGAGCTGGGGGTCTGGTGTGCCGGGCGACGGGCCGTGCCCCGGCTCCTTGACTTCAGAGTTCACTATGAGCAGAGCGGTCCTGGGGGTCTGCACCGGGGTCCTGTCTGCACAGAGGGTTCCTGCAGGTCGAGAAGAAGACACATCCCCATATCTAAACTGGGTTTACAGAATCGCGCAGCTTACAGAACGCAGTAAAGGAGGACGTCCTCACCAGTGGACTCCTCCTTGGCCTCCGTCTCCTTGTCCTCCGTGTTATCGCTGTGGGGGGACACAGGTCAGCACAGGTCATAGAGCAAACAGGAAATCGGTTGTGCTTTCTGTTTTTCATGGAACCTAGCATACAGTGCACCTCGCCATGATGTCATCATTCCTCAACATGGCCGGTTCTAGACAGGGGCCAACGAGGGCCAGAAATTCTAATGATCTGCGCTGGAACAGACATGGTTACTGATAGGTCCTTTGGATCTACTTCATTCTATTTCTTTACAATTTCTGTTTGACTAATTATACAAAAACAGTAAGGTGATAGCTTCAGTGGTGCTGGGATCCTTTCTCAGTTTTCATCTGCTAACAAACAAATAAAAAAAATCCTTTAATGTTTACTGATGAATTTAAATGTTTATGTTGAGTTCTACTTCAAATTTGATAGAAAACAGTAGTTTTAACTTAAATTAAGTCAAAAATATGTAAAATTCCTGAATTATAAATGTATGCTGACCTCATAAGAAATAGAAACATTTTTATTGAACCTAATTGAAAATAAATTTCCCTTCATGCAGCTCTCTTAATATATTTGAATCCCTTGCCCTGTTTTTTATTTCATGCTTTTCAGGGCCCCCATGAAAACATGCTGGCCCCCTCCTGGCCCCCTGGTACATCTGGTCTAGATCCGCCACTGTTCCTCCCTTTCACTAGATGCGGATATACTTTAGTATATTCTGCTGTAAATTTAGTCCTATATTTTGTTTTTTTACTGGAGGATTGAACCTCTGCCGTTTCCCAGGATGCACTGCTTTGAGTGGTAACTAGGTGACTGCCAGAGAGGAACCAGAGAAACTTATGGGACTGATCCAATCAGCTCTCTGATCAACCAGTCGCCTGGAACGCTGGTTGATCAGAGCATCGCTTTGGACAGAAACACTGCACAGGTTTCACCATCAACCTCCTCCCCACCCCCCGCTCTCTCTTGCTGTCTGAGCAATCGCAGTAGTTCTAATCCGCACATGAGGCATTAATTATTATACTGCCTGATTGCTTTCATTAGCATTAAAAAACACCACCTCGCAGAGTGTAAAATTTGGGATAATTTATCCGAGTCATGGGCGTGAACAACTATCTATATCAGGGAGACTCCTGGAACTTCCGGGAAGCTTGGGATGTCTGCTAAGAAACAACATTTTCATCTAATTCTGCTCTCAGAGCAGCTGAGGATCAGTCAGAGCAGATGGAGATCATTGGTGAACATCACCAGTTTGTCTCTGTCCCACGACAGACTGGTGACCTACAGGGGCAGAGCTAGATGGGAGGCCAGGAGGGGCCATGGCCACCCTTAGCCAATCATTGGCCACCCCTGTGGTCCCCCCTACCTTTTCTTCCCTCTAATACAGACGGTGGCAGCAGTAATACTCTTTAGTGGAAAGATCCAACTAGTTTAATATTTTAATTCTTCATATATCAACAATTACTTTAAAAAAAGCCCTGTGGTTAATTATGCTCATTAATAAACTAACATTAAAGATGATAAATACAGAATTCATGCTCTTTTCACGAATAAAATTTGTCTTAAGGGGTGAAGAGAAAATTATGTCTTTCCAAGTCACCTCTGAGTTTTAAGTGAAATTAGAGATAAATAACTACTTTAATAATAATCCATTCAATTTAGATATAAAGTACATGTAATTACTAATTTTATGTAGAAAGATTAATGATAAAAGTATGTTAGTAATGACCAGAATTCGAACCTGAAAGTATTTTGTCTACTACACCTTTAATTTAGACATCATGGATGTTTAAATATATGCGTCTATTTGTTAGCAAAGGCTGCAGGAAAGTATAGTTTGTTTTTATTTAGAAAATACAGTTGTGCTCATTCATTTTCCTGTTGGAACAGAGTAAAGTGACGGGATAAAGTGAAATGGCATTTTAGCAAAAACATAATTAATGTGCACAAAAGAGGAATAGTTGTATTAACCATACATGGAAACAGAGTTTATTGTTTTACTGATTAAAGCTAAATTAATTAAAACCCTGCAAATGTATTAGTTTTAGGTATAAATAATAATCCATTGATCATTCCTTGCTGACCGGACTTTTCCTTTAAAACATAAAATGCTTGGGAAATGTTTTTTCTCTCCCAGCATACAGAGTTTGCTTATAACTTTACTTTTTGGTTCATCTTATGACAATTTAAAATATCAACTGTTACGGTGAGTTACTCAGTACTTAAGTACCCTTCATACCATTAACGTTTTCCTCTTTAGTAAAAACATGATGAAGTAATGCTAGCGTTACCTGAGTCAAATGTCTGGGACCCCCCCCACCCACCTCTGCTCGCTGTAACGTGACTAAATATGAAGAACCTCAGGGGCATAAATACTTTCAGAGGTATGAAAGAGCATGCAGAGAAACACAGAAGATGATGATGATGACGACATGCTGGTGAAGATTCTCAGTCATTCAGCTCATAGTCATAAAAAACAATCAACTAGACTTTGTTTTCAAGTTTGAAGACGTTTCGCTTTCCATCCAGGAAGCTTTTTCAATTCAAAATGTCAAAGTTGGTGTTGCTTTCGAGGCTTTATAAAGTAGCAAAACAAAGGCTTAGGCTTAGAAAACAGGCAAAAACAAGATTTTATTGGTTCACTCTAGAGACTAACATTTTTTCGGGAAGGCAGTATTAGTAACGATCACGTGATTGGGACGGTAAAGGATCAAACATTAACGGGAGCAGACGGGAGCGGGAGCAAACCAATAGTAAATAAAAAAAACTAGGATCAACGCCAAAAAATAAAATAAAATAGAAAGAAAAAAAATCCAGTACTGGCGCCGCCATTTTGTAGTTTTTTTCCTTGAAGCCTACACTATAATGCGAGTCAAAAAAACTACACGACCCAAAAACCAACAGTGCTTCCGCTCTGAGTTTTTCACCCGCGCTAAAAAAACCGTAGACTCGTGAACGCGCTTTTAGGAAATCCTATACACTACTGTTTATGCTCTAAAAACATTCTAAATGACTTCGTTTCGAGTAAATTCTGGACGCTACCCACTCAGGACACTTGGAATACATTGGACGAGCAGTATGGAGGAATATTGACACGTTTTTTGTGGACTTTTATGGACCTTTCTGTCTCGGGCGCCATAGACCTCCATTATTTGAATGTCAGCAGACAGCAAGAAGCCTCCCAGATCTCCAGATGCATTTGAGATATCAAAAAAGTACTCCAGAGTGTTGTTCAGCATGGGGGGGAGTAGAAAATGAAGGCTAATCATGTTTTGGGTGTACTATTCCTTTAAGCCTCGAACTCAACGCTATTCCTTACATTTTGAATTCAAAAAGCTCCCTGGGTGGGAAGCGAAAAGTCTTCAAACTTGGAGACAAAGTCCAGTAGATTGTTTTTTGTTTTTTACTTTTTTGGGATGATGATGATGAGCACAGACCAGTTTACAGAGCAGACCAGGAACTAATGAATGCATAAAAGAACAAGAACACCTTAGACCAGGGGTCTTCAACTTTTTCCAGGCCAAGGACCCCCAACCTGACGACGAGATGGAGCAGGGACCCTATAATTATATATATTGTATGAAATAGCAGTATATCAAACTACAGTTTGATATACTGCTATTTCATACAATATATGTAATTTATGATATAACTATAGTCACTCTATTACAGATGGAGTAAATTAACTAAAGTAATCCCTCCCTGGGATTATTAAAGTTTTTCTGATTCTGATTCCTGGTTGATGGGACAGGTGTTGTGAATGAAACGGTGCCCAGCTTGAAAGAGCTCCTGTGTGTCTCTGAATGTGAGCATTGATGACTGAAAGACATCTTCTGCCGCCATTTATCTGTTTACTACAGTCTGTTCAATTCATGTTAATGTGGATTTAAAGACATTTTAATTAGTGGGAAAAATTGCAGGGAGACATATTAAAGAAAAAAAGTCTAATCAACCAAAACTTTCCTCCCTTAGGGTCACGCGCCCCCTGTTGAAGACTAATAATGATCAGAGCCTCTTGTTTGTTTGGTTCAGGGTCTAAAGTTAATTTAGATGAATAAAAAATTCACACTTTCATTTTCCTTTCAGTCTAATATCTCGTCTGCCAGTTTAGCAAATCTTTTCTGTCGTTATGCCAACGGGTAAACAGTCATTTCTCCTTCTTACTGCATTGTTAATCACAGGCCTGTTGACACAGCCTGAAGCTACAGACTCTTCGACTCTGTTAGTTGAAAATAACTGGGGAGGCTTTTTTTTTTTAAGGCGCTAAGAAACAGAAAACACTAAATATACACATGGATGGTCTCTATATCCAACCCAGCATCTAGGAGCGTTCCTGTTGTCTGCAGGCTACCAGTTATTCAGACGAGAGCCCAAACAGCTCCGCTGGACTAGTTGGCTCTTGAAAAGGCATAATATTAAATTGAAGAGCTTTGGATGAAAGTTGTGTAATTAGAGGCTGGTGGAGGGTTTGTTCCTTCAGTTTGATCTAAGAATGTAGATCTGATGAGTTCCTCTGCAAACCAACGGAGCCTAGAGGGAGACAGTAACTGTCCCTAAACCTAAGAACTACTTGGTGAGTCACTGATAACTGGAAGCCGGTCTTAAACATGACTGGAGGAGTTCTGGCACAGTCTGCTTTATACTGGAAGCGTTTTAAGCAGAATCCCGCAAAATCCCAGTCAGATTTTAGTTTACAGGTGCTGGTCATAAAATTAGAATATCATGAAAAAGTAGATTGATTTCAGTAATTCCATTTAAAAAGTGAAACTTGTATATTATATTCATACATTACATACAAACTCATATATTTCAGATGTTTATTTTGTTTAATTTTGATGATTACAAATGACAACAAATGAAAATCTCAAATTCATCATATCAGAAAATTAGAATATTACTGAAGACCAATAAAAACAAAGGATTTATAGAAATGTTGGCCAACTGAAAAGTATGAACATGAAAAGTATGAGCATGTACAGCACTCAGTATTTAGTTGGGCCTCCTTTGGCCTGTATTACTGCAGCAATGCGGCGTGGCATGGAGTCGATCAGTCTGTGGCACTGCTCAGGTGTTATGATAGCCCAGGTTGCTCTAATAGTGGCTTTTAGCTCTTCTGAATTGTTGGGTCTGGTGTATTGTATCTTCTTCTTCACAATACCCCATAGATTTTCTATGGGGTTAAGGTCAGGAGAGTTTGCTGGCCAATTAAGAACAGGGATACCATGGTCCTTCAACCAGGTACTGGTAGCTTTGGCACTGTGTGCAGGTGCCAAGTCCTGTTGGAAAATGAAATCTGCATCTCCAAAACGTTGGTCAGCTGCAGGAAGCATGAAGTGCTCTAAAACTTCCTGGTATGTGGCTGCGTTGACCCTGGACCTCAGAAAACACAATGGACCAACACCAGCAGATGACATGGCACCCCAAACCATCACTGACTGTGGAAACTTTACACTGGACTTCAAGCAACGTGGATGAAGTGCCTCTCTTCTTTTCCTCCAGACTCTGGGACCTTGATTTCCAAAGGAAATGCAAAATTTACTTTCATCAGAGAACATGACTTTGGACCACTCACCAGCAGTCCAGTCCTGTTTCTCTTTAGCCCAGGCAAGACGCTTCTGACGCTGTCTGTGGTTCAAGAGTGGCTTGACACAAGGAATGCAACAGCAGAAACCCATGTCTTTCATACGTCTGTGTGTGGTGGTTCTTGAAGCACTCACTCCAGCTGCAGTCCACTCTTTGTGAATCTCCCCCACATTTTTGAATGGGTTTTGTTTCACAATCCTCTCCAGGGTGCGGTTATCTCTCTTGCTTGTACACTTTTTTCGACCACATCTTTTCCTTCCCTTCGCCTCTCTATTAATGTGCTTGGACACTGAGCTCTGTGAACAGCCAGCCTCTTTAGCGATGACCTTTTGTGTCTTGCCCTCCTTGTGCAAGGTGTCGATGGTCGTCTTTTGGACAACTGTCAAGTCAGCAGTCTTCCCCATGATTGTGAAGCCTATAGAACTAGACTGAAAGACCATTTAAAGGCTTTTGCAGGTGGTTTGAGTTAATTAGCTGATTAGAGTGTGGCACCAGGGGCCATCAATTTTGAACCTTTTCACAATATTCTAATTTTCTGATATGATGAATTTGAGATTTTCATTTGTTGTCATTTGTAATCATCAAAATTAAACAAAATAAACATCTGAAATATATGAGTTTGTATGTAATGTATGAATATAATATACAAGTTTCACTTTTTAAATGGAATTACTGAAATCAATCTACTTTTTCATGATATTCTAATTTTATGACCAGCACCTGTATACTTTGACTAGACCACTTTGGGCTGCTCAGTGGGTAGCACAGCTGCCTTGCAGAAAGAACGTTCACTGCAAAAAAATTGAAATCTAAATAAGTCATTTTTTCTTGAATTGAGGAGATAATTGAGACGCTTTGTCAATGGAACAAGACAATTTACATTTAAAATAAGAAAACACTATTGCATTGTCTTATTTCAAGTGCATATTATCTAATTATCTTATTTTAAGACTTAAAATACTCATTCCATTGGCAAATTATCTTATTTACCTACTCAAATTAATGGTAAATACACTTGATTTAAGACATTTTTTCTAATTTTTAGGTGGGTTTTGCAGTGTTCTGGGTTTGACTCCCGGATCTTTCTGCATGTTCTCCCTCAGCATGTGTGGGTTCTCTCAGGAATTCCTCCCAAAGTCCAAAAACTGTTCGGTTAATTGGCTTCTCTAAATCCTCCTTAGGTGTGAGTGTGAATGAATGGTTGTTTGTCCTGTTTGTCTCTGTGTTGCCCTGCGATGGACTGCAGACCTAGTGTAGCAAAAATGATCAGACTTCTCTGTCTGCTCCTTCTACATAACAATCCATTCTTCTTTGGAGTTTAATTCCCTTGAGATGTATTTATTTTTCATATTCAGTAGGGATGGAGCGGTTTATGAAAACCATCCAAACCGTTCGGTTCCACTGTCTCTTTTCGGTTCGCGTGTGTTTCGTTCGGTTCATGCGCTGCTCCTTTTTCTCATAGGCGAAGCGTTTACACTCCAGAGCAGAAGGTGGCGGTAGTGCGACTAAAGCCAACCACCAGTAGTAAACAAGAAGAAGTGAAGCAGCGTAGCCGGGTGTAGCAGAAAAAAATCAGTAGTTGTGGAGAATTGTGTGGGTATGGCGAGTGGGAAAGAACAGGAGTTGGAAGACGCGCCAGCAGCACTTTATAGGTCTGCTGTATGGGACCACTTTGCATTTAGAGTGACCTACGATGACAGCGGAAAGAAAGTTGTGGATAAAAGTGCAACAGTGTGCAAGCATTGTGCAACATTAGGGTGACCAAACGTTCGTATTTCACGTCCTGTCCTGGGCGTCCCAGGTTTTTTCAGAAAGTGAGGAAATAACCTGTTTTTTTAAATTACCTTCATTGGACCATTAAATTTACAGGCACTAGGGCACTGCGCTGCGTGTGACGTAATCCCTGAGCCGCGTCAGTGCGGGCAGCCCTGTTCTTAATCAGAATATAGATTGCCATTTTCAGTACCCCAACAACATGCCAAAGCACAAATGTATGTTTACCGACGATTTACAAAAGAGTTTCCCCGCTTTCAGAGCGGGTCGAGACAAATGGGAGGCCTTGTGCACAGCGTGCAAAGCAGGCACATATGTCTCGGTGTCCAATGGAGGTGCAAGGGATCTGAAAAGCCACCTGGACTCCGAAAGTAAAGATAGTCTATTGATATGTTTGTTAGTTTTTAGTACATTTTGAGTTATTTTTGCTACACAAGAGGTATTTTTTTTTAATTAGCTCATTTGTTAATTTATTTTTTCCAATAGCCTACAGAACAGACATTATTTCGTTCATTACTGAGGCTGAGTATCATCTGTTATTGGGAGCTGAGAGTTATTGTTAACTTTTATTGTTATGTGAGGGATGTTTAGATGAAACATTATTTCTTTCATTGTGCTATTCATTAATTACAGGAATTGTTAAGCATTTTTAATTAATACATTTTGAATAAAATTATCATTTGTTATTGGAGTTATTGCTGTTGACTTTTACTGAAAAGCATTTTTAATAAATCAACTGTTAATATCATGTTATTGTAGGATTACGTAGGCCTATGTTAAGTGAGTGCATGCCACAGACACCTCTATGCATGGGAACAGAGATCTCCCCCCCGCTCCAAGGTCAAAATGAAAATATGGTCACCCTATGCAACACGTTTTGTTTATGCTAATATCAACATGACCAACATGTCATGCTAACCCCGAAATCCCACATACTCCGCCCCGCTGCGCTCCAGACCGGCTGCTCAAAGCAAAGCCTACACCCTCCGCTGTGGTTCCTTGGAGATGGTAGAGGGCATGCTCCAGATGATTAAATTCAAAGCAGCAAAACATGCGGAAATGATCCAGGGTTTCTGCGGATCATTAAAAATAATTACAATTCATTCATTTTTTGGGATTTTTTTCATTATCTTAATTAATTTTTATAGGATTTCTTTGTAACAATCAACATATACCGAACCGAAAACCATGACCACGAAACCGTGAACCGAACCGTGGATTTTGTGAACCGTTCCACCCCTAATATTCAGTATGTCTCCAGAATCTATGACAGCTTGCAGGTAGTATCTGTGTCTAGAGCAGAGTTTTTCCAACTCCTTCCTTGAAATCCTGCTGTTCTGCAGGGTTTAGATGCATCTCAGCTCCAGCACGCCTACATTAAAGGATTGCATCCCTCTTCAGGGCTGTAGAAGCATGTCAATCACCCATTTATTCAAAACAGGTTTACAGAGGCAAAAAATATGGGACATTTTCTAATTCAGTGCAAAGCTGCTTTGGAGGGGAGTTTGAGATTGATCACTTTGAGGGGAACAGATGATACAAGCTGCACATCAGAAGTTCACCATTGTTGGGTAGAATCCTCAGAACAATCAGCCAAATCCGATAACAGCTTTTGCTCTAAAGTTTGAATGTGCCAGACTGCAGGTCCCTGCAGAAGATGCTGAGGGGGTTCACTAACCCACTACAGTGTTTGATGGTAAATCTCATATACGTTTGTTCATTCCTGCAGGGATTATGCTGCATGCCAAGTGGTTTGCATGAAATGATTATACACGGACAGACTGTTACAGCCGAAGGCCTTTTCTCTGGGGTTGTTTGTTTCAGAGTTCCAGGTCATTGGCTGGTATTCAGACAGGAATACAACATCTCTTCCTTCCTGGGAATCAACCCTATCCTTCCTGTTTGTTTTACTTCGGTTTCTCTTGAGTCAAATGGCGTTGTAAGTAATTCCCCTTATGTATCTCCCCCCCAATAGTTAAGTCTTGTGCAGTGGAGCATGAAATATTCATGCAGGCTGAACATTTGAACCTGACAGAGTTTAATATCTCTGAAAAGTGTTCCTGTATGAATCCCTGCATGTAATACTAAGCCACACCTTCTTCTGATTCGAGTTTGTCAGTTAAGAAGTAGGACCGACCTGTCGGATGGGGAGAAGGACGACATGCGCTCCTCACACGCCTCCATCTCCAGGCCCAGGCTGCTCCAGCTGCTGCTGTTCCCATTGCTGCTGAGGAGAAGAAACAGGTAACATGCCCAAATCAGAGCCCAGTGATACAATAATGACCAGTTCCTTTGTGGGTTTATCCAGCATGTATTGTACATAAACAGTACTTGGGGTTGGAGATTATTCCTGAGATTTGGAACAAAGTCCTTTAACTGTTAGGTGGGGGGTAAAACAAAGGAGGCTTCTCCAAATGAGGCAGATTTTCCTCCTGTATATCTCTATCATTGAATCATTTGTTGCTGAAGGCTTCAGGTGTGAGATCATTGTATTGTCGTCCTTCCACAGCCACGGGGGCCCTGCCAGGACAACCAGCAGGCAACAGAGGCACAACAATCCTAGATCTCTGTAATTCAGTCCATAATTACCCTGCTGGCAGGATCCCCTGAACCGTGGTGTTCATCCATCTCAGCGAGGCGATGATGACTGATAGCTAAACATCCCCTCAGCGATCAGCATTACCTCAGCCTTCTCCTGTGGTTTCATGAAGCAACACTTGCTGAGAAGAGCTCCCTCTACCATCAGGCTCCAGGTCTAAACAGGCTCACTGAGGTGTTTTTCTTTCCTCTGTCGCCTCATCTGCTGGGTGGAAAATGGCTCCGGACCGGATGGCTCTAACCATTACACATGATGGACTTACAGAGCCTGAAGCGAACAGTCACGCCTTTAGAAAATATTATGATACATTAACTTGGCCGTGTTGTTCTGGTATCTCAGGCCTCTTTTCCAGAGGAGTCACCTAGAAACAAGATCTCAACTGAAACTACGACCTGGAGGCAAAAGTATGGAATCATAGATGGAGAATGTTCGTTCAGATATCCTATAAATAAAAACCCACACGGCGTCAGTCTGGCAGCGTCTGACAGCAAACAGAAAGCTGCTCATCGCTGCGCCTTTTCTTCCTGATAATGATCCAAATATGTGACTGAATGCAGACACGGGATCAACCTTCTTCCATTTTAGCTTCAGATCCGGAGGAAAGAAACTGTGAGAAGAACGAGGATGGTGGACGATCTCCAGGTTTTGAAGAGAGGAAGGAACAAGGACTTATTTGCAGAAAATAATCTAAAAATAACTCTATCTGCCCTAAATTTGGATACCAAGGAAATGAGGAATTATTATGAAGTGTATTTTCAAAGTGAAATTTGGAAATAAAGGAGATCTAGAAATGAAAATATGTTGAAATAACTTTGCAGTTTTCTCTGATTATTCAAATGTTATTATTTTTTCACTTTGTTTCAACATTTCTTCAGATTGAGCTTTATGATTTGCATTCTTAGAAAAAAAAATGGAAATAAATTCTGAGAAAAAAGCAAATATGCAAGATCCTTTTTTTAATTAGAACATTTTCTAAGCATTTTTTTTTTACATTTGTGTTCTTTGCTTAGAAGTAGTGTTGCACCGACACTGATGCCAGTATCGGTATCAGCGAGTACCAATCAATGGGGCCCCGATACCATTTTAGAGCCAAAAGTTTCTTCAACTATTGTCACCCATTCCAGGTAGGCAATAAAAAGTTCTACTGGACTCACTTTGTTGTAGTCTTTTTCCTGCTTCACAAAGGAAGGCAGCAGCTTGTCATGAAGCCATGATGGCAATTATTTTACAACCAAGTAGGATGCAGTTCTTCATATATACACACACCAATTTAAATTTTTTCACATACACTACCGTTCAAAAGTTTGGGGTCACATTGAAATGTCCTTATTTTTGAAGGAAAAGCACTGTACATTTCAATGAAGATAACTTTAAACTAGTCTTAACTTTAAAGAAATACACTCTATACATTGCTAATGTGGTAAATGACTATTCTAGCTGCAAATGTCTGGTTTTTGGTGCAATATCTACATAGGTGTATAGAGGCCCATTTCCAGCAACTATCACTCCAGTGTTCTAATGGTACAATGTGTTTGCTCATTGGCTCAGAAGGCTAATTGATGCTTAGAAAACCCTTGTGCAATCATGTTCACACATCTGAAAACAGTTTAGCTCGTAACAGAAACTACAAAACTGACCTTCCTTTGAGCAGATTGAGTTTCTGGGGCATCACATTTGTGGGGTCAATTAAACGCTGAAAATGGCCAGAAAAAGAGAACTTTCATCTGAAACCCGACAGTCCATTCTTGTTCTTAGAAATGAAGGCTATGCAATGCGAGAAATTGCTAAGAAATTGAAGATTTCCTACAACGGTGTACTACTCCCTTCAGAGGACAGCAGAAACGGGCTCTAACCAGAGTAGAAAAAGAAGTGGGAGGCCGCGTTGCACAACTGTGCAAGAAGATAAGTATATTAGAGTCTCTAGTTTGAGAAACAGACGCCTCACAGGTCCCCAACTGGCATCTTCATTAAATGGTACCCGCAGTAGCCTGTCTGTGCTGTCCTCTGAAGGGAGTAGTACATACATTTTGAGCGTTTAATTGACCCCACAAATGTGATGCCCCAGAAACTCAATCTGCTCAAAGGAAGGTGAGTTTTGTAGCTTCTGTTACGAGCTAAACTGTTTTCAGATGTGTGAACATGATTGCACAAGGGTTTTCTAATCATCAATTAGCCTTCTGAGCCAATGAGCAAACACATTGTACCATTAGAACACTGGAGTGACAGTTGCTGGAAATGGGCCTCTATACACCTATGTAGATATTGCACCAAAAACCAGACATTTGCAGCTAGAATAGTCATTTACCACATTAGCAATGTATAGATTGTATTTCTTTAAAGTTGAGACTAGTTTAAAGTTATCTTCATTGAAAAGTACAGTGCTTTTCCTTAAAAAATAAGGACATTTCAATGTGACCCCAAACTTTTGAACAGTAGTGTAATTTTTTTCAATTTTATGGTATCGTTATCGGCCAATACTGCACAGCCAAGTATCGGTATTGGTGCCAAAAAATGGCATTGGCGCAACACTACTTGGAACGATAACGACCCAGAATTCTCCCCAGCAGAGCACCTTTGGTGAAAAGCCTCGCTAACATAGCGCCCAGCTGCCTGTGGCTGACCCACTGCTCTGCTCAGTCCAACAACAACATAGCAGATCCAGCAGGTCTCCAGAGAGGAGGGTGGTTACCTGTCGCTCAGATGGAGGAAGCTGCTGTTGTCGTCCGGGTGATCTTCCTCAAAGCTGAGGTTAGACCAGCTGCCCAGACTGTCTTCCCCCACGCTCAGCTGCTGGGACACGGTGGACTCTGTCTGCTCCCGACCTGGAGAACTAAAAGAAAGCAGAATCTATTGCTTTGAAAGAACCCAAAGATGCTTCTTTGCCACAGAAACTAGTCACTTCCCAGTGGGAGCATCGGAAAGGATGCATAGACTAACCTTATGATGGGGGCCTGACAGACGTTAGTCAGCGCTGACGTCATTATTTCTGCCGTCAGGCTCTCGGCGTAGCTGGCGCCGTCGTGGCCGATCCCGCTGTCTGCGTTGAGGCTGGTGTTGCTCAGCTCTCGTTTCGCCGTCTCCATCGCCAGAGAGACAACTTCCTCTGCAAATGCCGCCCTGTGGTCCAGGTCGATGTGGATCCTGGGGATCTCCAGGGCAGAGAGGGGCTCAGACGGTTGATGGCTGTCTGATGCCGCCGCCCGTCTCTGTAGGACGGGACGGTAGCAGCGTCTGCCCAGTGTAGTGCAGTGAGGACATTCCTGAGACAGACAGTAACGGCAGGTCCTCTGTCCCAAAGACGGGAGTGCTGCCGGTCCCTCGGACAGCCTCAGGGCGTGGGAGTGCCTATCATGGCTGTCGGTCTGTAGATGCTCCCAAGAGAAACGCCCAACCGAAGCCGGACTCATTTTGATGGTGTCATCAACGATCTTCCTGGCGTAATGTTCTATGACCTGCATGGCCTTACTGCTGTAGCCGCCATCGCACAGACTCCCCGTACTGTGGTACGGTCTGCTTGGGTCCTCCTTGGACAGCAGAGGGCAGGAGAAAGAGTTCCTGATGAGGTCATCGGCCACACCGTCGAGTTTGGTCTTTTTATAAAGACAGGAGTCGGTTAGAGACTTGGGAAGGCGAACTGAAGATAGACGAAGCTTTCGTGTGACATCACAGGTGATGCTGTAGGCTAACGACTCAGCAAAGCTGACCAGGTCCACGTTCTCTGCCTTGCTCTGCTTCTTGGAGGCTGAGCAACAACACTGCTGCTCCTCACCCGACAACCCCACAGATCCGGATCCATCTGTGGACAATAAGCTTTCGCTGCCGGAAGCCTTCCACTCATCTGGCAGAGACTTGGAGGAGAGAAGGCGGCTGCTGGACGACCTTTGCTTATTCTTACGGCTAGCATGAGCCAGGCCTAATTTAATAGAGCGGTACGCTAGGCGGCTAGCAAACTGGTCCAGGACCAGCTCCCTGCTGCCACCCTCCTTCTTCAGCACCCTGATTAGGTAGCCTGCGTACTCGTCCGTTACGCTCTCACAGCTGGGGTACTCTGAGGACAGGCCGGAGCTGGACGTGGAGGTGGGGGACTGAGAGACGGAAGCTATCAGGTTGTTGGACCATCGCTCTGCAAGCTTTGCTAACCCTGAGTTCCGGTTGTGGTCGGTCCCGGGCTGAGAGCGATGCCGGTGTCGGGGATGCCAGCCTTCAGAGCTTGATCTGTCCAGACTCCTCCTGCGGAGACGCTGGGCCTTGTGGTAAGGACACCGCAGTCCGGAGCCCACCATGGCCTTCACGTCGCTGATGACCTGCCCCGCCACCTCGCCAGCGTAAACCCACAGCGTGTTCAGAGTCTGCTCCGAGAACTGGGCCACGCTGTCTTTTTGCTTCTCCCCCTCTTCCTCAGACACCCCTAATGTGTCCATCTCCGTCGCCATGGAAATAATGTGACACGCCAAGCGCTCTGCATAGTGTAGAGCTTCCTTGTGGGACGTCCTATGACTTGGGTCCCGCCGCCCGCGGCCCGCCCCCACGCCTCTCTGAGCTCCAACAACTCCTCCTTCCTCAACCGCTTCCTCCTCCTCAACGTCTTCATCGCCGAGTGCCTCCTCAGAGAGGGACCTCATGAGGTGGAGCATGAACTCTCCATTAGCGGCGGCGTCTCCAGGCTCCGGCTGATAGTGAGGTGTTGGGGGCGGAGTCGCAGGAGAAAACTCGTTGGCCAGCTTGCTTTTCAGCTTCTTAGAAAACCGTTTTATCTGCTTCTCTTGGGAGACCTCACTGGCCTGCTGAGGCGTGGAGGGAGGGGTACCAGGAGTCCCGGCGGACCCCTGGATGGGCCGTGGAGCCGGGTCATCCCTGCCCCGTCCCGCCGGAGCGGTGATCGGCACATCCAGGCTGTCCATGGTTACAGGAAGTGTTTGGGCCGCATCGCCTGGCTGGACATCACCTTGAAAATGCTTGCCATCCGCCCCGCGCTTTGAATGTGAATCTGGGGCATCCAGCTTTGAGGAGGAGTTCCTTTGGCTTCCCATGGTCTTGGTCAAGAAGTCAGCGCAGTCACCCAAACCTTTCTTCATCTTGGAGGCGGTAATGAGTTCACAGGCCTCAGTCACAATCAGATCCACCATGTTACCGGAGAAGCTTTGGAATACCTTCTGTTGGGAGGAGCCTCCCACAGGTACGGTGGTCTGGCTCTGACGGAGGTCTGCGTGGGGTTGGTCAGAGGCGGATGTTAGCGTCAATCTTTGGGGGCTGTTAGACGAACCGGACCTGTGAGGAGAAGCCTCTTGTGAATCCTGGAAGCCAGACAGGGCGTGTCCAGCATTGGGAACAGAGATACAGCTGGCCATGCCGGAGACGGTGAACAGAGCGCTCTTCACCGTGCAGGAGGCCTGCTCTCCTGAAGCCGCTGCAGTGGAATTGGACCCTAACACCTGGTTAGTGAAGGTAATGCTGGTGTGACAGCCAGAGTTCTCAGCATTGACATAACAGATGTTATCCAAGGACACGCTAATCGCGGCCCGGCTCGTAAAGGCGACGTCAGCCTGAGAAAGCTCTATGAAGGCCTCCTGAATGACAGACTCAGACAGATGAGAGGCGTAGGAGGACACCACCTCCTCCTCTTCCTTCTCCTCCTCTGCACAGCCGCGGCCGAAAGCCCAGTCGCTGGGTGTTATGGGGGTGGAGGGGTGGGAAAACTGGCACACTTCCATGATGCCTTCGAACACCAGCTCCTCGGCCAGATCGGCAGCAAACTGCGTCACTGTGTTGTGGAAGATCTGTTTCTTCACAGTGAGGAACTCTTTGAGGGCCCCAGAAACGGCCTCGCCGACCAGGAAACCGGCTAATCCATTGATCGCCCGGTTCTTCAACACACAGGCACGTCTCATGCCAATTTCATGGAAGGCCATCTGGAAAACGGAGGTGGTGAGTCTGGCAGCCAGGTGGCATAAGGTGGTGGTGCAGGAGGACACGCCTTTCTGGAGGTCTCGCAGTGCGCTGCCCAGGCTCATCTCCACCAGGTCTGAGGCGAACCTCTGAATGCCATCCTTCAGAGACTGGGACGTCTCCTGCAGCTTGGCCACAGTGACGGCCTCCTGGATGTCCGACAGCTTCATCAGATAGCCTGAGGGGTTCTTGAACTCCTTGTGGCAGACGCAGCTGAGGTTCTTGTTGTCACTGATGTCCACTGCAGACTGGAAACCACACACTGAGCCCAGAATCTCTTTGGAGAGATTGTTGGCAAAGTCTGAGTAGGTCTTATAGAGGGAGCAGAGGTCCTGAGGTTTCTGGAGCTCTGACTTCTCCTCCCCTTTCCCCTCCGCTTTCCAGAAGTATTCCAGCGGTCCACTAGGTTCCACCAAAGGACTGAAGGCGGAGGAGCTGACGGGACTGAAGAGAGGTCCTCCATTTTCCTCAGAGGGGGTCTGCGTAGCCCAAGGGTTGTCAGGAAGGTCAGGGTGAGGAGAGTAGGGAGAGCCTGGTTTCAGAGGAGTGGGTTTTTTCACATTGGCTGGGAGAGTGGGCTGGTCAAAGCGCTGAGGGTTCATACTCTTGGTTGAGCATCCCCGGGAGACAAACTTGGACGTGTGGCCACCAGACTCAGGGTTTTTTTGTGCAGCCGGGGCGTTGATGGAGTCCAGCGGTAGAGCGAGGGTACAGCTTTCTGAGCTCAGCTCCTCCAGGTCATCAAACTGGTCGAAGCTGTCAAAGAACTCACTGACTTCAGAGTCTGAGTCTTCTACCGGCTCCCTGGGCCCCCCTGGCACCTGGGGGATGTCCAGCTTGGCCAACAGGCTCTTCTGGTAGCCCACTTCATCCAGGAAAATGATTGGACTGGGGCTGGAGCAGTCCGACTCCTCTGATTCGCTAATATGAGCAGCAGGGGAAGGCTGACGAGCTCCAGGACTGCAGTAGGTCCACTGTGACTCCACATCAGACGACGACCGCTGCACTGTGACTGAAACGTCAGGAGCAGGTCCGTGTTTGGCTGAATGCTTCTGGAAAGACGAGCTGATGATGACGCGGGAGCCGGACAGCTCCTTCTTCCTCCTGTGGGCCGGGATTGTCTGTGAGGCAACGTTGCGTTTCTTCAGATGGCCGAACGCAGCAGCAGCTGAGGAGGAGGAAAGAAAGAAAGCGTTAGAGGGGAGATATTTAAAAGAAGAAAACTATTAATCAGAACTTCATGTGCCCGTAAAGAAGGTTCATTACAAAAAGAGGAGAAAAGTCAAACATTTCAGGACTAATTGATGGATGCTTTAGTGACTAAATATAGGAACAAACTGTTTAAATCGCAATTAATCGCAACCTAAACCCTGACTGAAAACAGAAAAGGGCCAGTCTGGTGGAAAACCCCCACGGACTGGTCCCAAACCCAGAAACCGTATCACTCCACGCTGTGGATGCTGATACTGCAGGAAGCATTAAAATCTTAGATGAGACGTTAGAAGACGGCAGTTGATACCTCGGGCTTGGAACAGAGGTATCAAGTTCAAAAATACAAATAGTTTGTTACCTCACGTAAGTAGAAGGCTATCTATATGTTACTGGAGTAATTATCTTTTAGACAACTTTCTACTTTCAACTCCTTAGATTTTAAAAATAGACTCGTTAGTTTTGTTTCATTTAAGCTCATTTTCATTATGGCCTAAAATAAAAGTAATATATAAAAATAATTAGTTTCATCCAGACAATTAATTTCTTTGTTGTTGGACTCGGTGCTGCTCCAACTTGTTGTTGACCACTTACCAAAATAAATAGTTTTTCCAGATGATGCAAAGTTAAATTTGTCACCATTAGTTATAAAACTAAGAAAATGAAGTCTAAGGAAGTTATCATCCAGAATTGTAGAAAATTCTTCCTTTAATAGAGTAGAGCAGTAAAGCTTCTGGCCTTAACAGTTTTTCCTGCATTACTGAATTTACATATATACTTTTAGTAGTATTAAAAATGTTACTTTTACACTTTTACTGGATCAAAAAGCTAAAGTTGATCCTTTAACTTCTATAAAAGTGTTTTTAAACACCAGGATTTATACTTCTATTGGAGTAATAAACTAGGGGTGTAGGAAAAAAATTGATTTGGGGATACATTGTGATTTTCGACCACCCGATAAAATATACATGTTTCAGTTCCTAGTATAGATTTTTATTTTTTTTATTCAAAACATTTTTACCTAAAACAATGAGGAAAAATGGGCTACCTCCGCGCTGCTAGGCAGTTAGCGCTGTGCGGCGCAGCGCCATATCTGTAGTTGAGGCAGTCACAGTGGAATACGTTGGCTGACTCAAACCCCAAACACCTTGGATACCAAAATAACTAAATGATCAATATCTTAGGATGAACATGTAAAGCAAATGGCTTTTTACCTACACATTTAATTTGATAGCTGGGAAGTTTATCCAAGTTTTTCTTTCTTTTTTCCAAAAAGAGGTGAGAGAGATACGCTTCGCTGACCTGCTCTGTCTGCTCCTCCTTATTCTGGAGGATCACTACTTTATCTGTTTTCTGTCCTCCTGAACTCCCATCATGGGGAAACTTTTCTATTTTAATGTTTCATTCATTGTTTTTGCTCCAGTTTGTCCTGCTCACAATAAACACGATGTGCCACTCCAAAGAGAACCCTTTCCCATGAGATTAACATATTTCATTTTATTTTGCCCCAAAGTGGATGTGTTTTACTTTGTAACCGCATCTCTCTTCCTCTCAGACCAATGAAATTCCTGCTAAATTGCTGCGTAGTCTGACTAAAGTAGACCTGGGTTCTATCTCAGTCGGAGCCACGCTGCCCCCTGCAGGAAATCATCCTCATTGACTTTCAATCAGCGCTAAACGTCCCGACCTGATCTAACACAATGTTCTGTTGGATCGGATACAAAATCAGATTCGATGTGTTCTGGTTTAAGCTGAACACATCTTAATTAATTGCCAAAACACAGTCACGTGGTGTTTTATCCACTCGCCTTTCAAATGGGGCTTTAAAATTTCACAAACATGTTTCAAAATTTGTTTTCATAAATAATTTTTGTTTAATAGCTGTGCAAACAAATAAAATGAGATTTAAAATTTCACCTGACGTGTGACTCTGAGGGAGTAATGCAACAGCAGGTAATCATTGTTAGCCCCGCCCCCTAATGGCCGGCATAATTGGAAACTAGAGGCTCTGACCTTTCAGCGAGGGGTCAGAGGTCATCGTGTGAGCATTCCAGGTGATGTAACCCGCATGCGTTATATAAGCTGCTCTGTTATTCTTATTTTCTATCCAGTTTGGTGATTTTATTGGTAAACACTAATGACTAAATCTCAGGAGCAAAGGCTTTGTCTTATGGAGAAGGTCTCAACTAATTTAAATCAGCATAATTGTTTGACCAGATTCCCTTTTTATAAAATGCATTTTTGCACGTTTGGCATTGTGCTCCCATTCCCTCCTATCACACTGCCCACTAAAACCTCTCTGGAACAAACATGCTTCAACTTATTCAGTCCTAATTAGCTTGAGTTATAGTAAAGATGTGGATCTATTGGCCTCTGAGGACGAGATGATTCTGTTAAACTGAAAGCAGCTTTTCATTTTTAGAGGTGTGTTAACTTTTAATCCCAGACATGACTGCTTTAAGCATCAAACCCATTCCTTCCACCTTAGCTCTAACTTCATGTCTCGTTTTAAGCCCAGAGCTAATGAAACCCTTTCTGTGGGTAAACCTACAGGGATTGTCTCTAGCGTCCTCCTCCTCCAGGTGCTCCAGCGCGGTGACGAAATCATCTTCGATGGAGGAGACCGACAGGTTGGTGTCGTCTTCCTCTGGCTGGCTGGGCTCACTGAGACCCCTCTGAAGGCCCTGGAGCTCCAGCACATAGCGGACCCCTGCTATGTAGCATCCTAGGAAGCCCACCAGAGACGCCACGCTGGCCTGAGCGTGCGCGCCTGAGCTGGGGTTCTGCCTCAGGACGCACACAGCCTTCAGCCAGCACTGAGGGAGACAAAAAGAGAGAAGTTTCTCAGGCTGATTATGGAAAAAAAAAAACAGAGAATAGAGCGTTTGTGTTAAACTGCTGTGCATCCTGCGGACAGGCCAGGTGTTTGATCCAGTTCAGCTGAGCTCAAACGGGGATTTTCTTCAATGTTACAGGAGTGGGATAAGAGCCATTTTGTTATGTCTGCGCTGTGCAAGCTGTTAGAACACAAAATACGTTTTTTGCAAGGCCACACTTTATAACTCACATCCGTGGGAGGTCTCTCCGTCTGAAATGGAAAGACAACCCACAGAATGAGCTGCAGGGCCTCTGTGAACCCAAACAAGACGCAGAGGGCCGGGAAGGACGAGGCTGCAGCGGTGGGCTGCAACAACAACATCTGTCCCACCTGCATTTCCTCCGAGGCGTGAGAAAAGCTCTGTTTCTGTTGGACCGACATGACCAACATTATTTTATCAACAACCGCTGGAGGACATGGAACAAATTATTTTCTGTGAGGTCGAGTAAATGACCTACTTCAAGTCTCAGAGCTTCAGTAGAAAAAAAAACAATACAAACAACCGTTATTAGATTGGATTTTAAACCGTAAAACCGCCGTTTTTTAAGAGGACCAACCATTAGCTGCCTCAACACAGAGCTTAACATCTGCAGAGGGTTTTCTGTGTGAAGCATGAGCTGCACAACCTAATTCTTTAAATAGGTGAACAGCTTTAAAGTGACGGGCTGCTGCACTGGATGCATGTGGGAATCTAAATCTCACATTTTGGACCTGATCTGCTACGGTTTCATTTATTCTGCAGCATTTGGGTTTTTAAGAGACAAGCTGGCATCATTTCCTGCAGCCTTTTAATCAACATGTGGCCTAAATTCCACGGACTTACACTGCAACAGCTCCCCCTGCTGTCCCGTCTCTGAACAGCGCCGCATTTTAAGGGCCCTTGACTGCCCAAGAGAAGAACAAAAGATTTGTCCTGCTACATTTTTCAAATATAAAAACAAAATCCAGCAGTAAAATAAATAATCTTCATGTTCTCCCTCATTTTTCTGCAGTTAACATTGAAGCAAAGCACCCCCCCCTCCCGTGAAATTGCAATAAATGGTTTGGTCCTCAGGTCCTGCATCGCATCGGTTCTCCCCGTCTATCACCAGCAGCTCGCTCGATCCGGGGCTTAAATGCCGCTTCATTTGACGCAGTGATAATGAAACAAAACTAATTAACAAGAAAATGTGTAAATAAGCAGCAGTTTTGTAAAAACATCAGCAGGGGAAAAATGGAGCGTCCCAACGTCTGGGTTTCAAAAAGGAAGAAAAGGAAGAAGAGGAGACATGGGGGGACATGGCTGCAGCCTGTCCATGGTGAAGATGACGAAGGATTTTGCCGTGTGTATATATATATATATATATATATATATATATATATATATATATATATACACACGGCAAAATCCTTCGTCATCTTCACCATGGACAGGCTGCAGCCATGTCCCCCCATATATATATATATATATATACACACGCAAATACAAGAGCCATACCGGCTCGGACGTCGCCCGGGTTAACAAGGTCCGCGTCAGTTGCTAGGGAACCAGGGCAACTTGATGACAAATTGGCTACTGGAACAAGACATAGATGGACTAGAGCAGAAAACTTGGTACTGATGAAATGCTACTATACAAGCGTCCCCAGTGAGAGAGGTTACATGCAGAGACTATGGGAATTATGGCAGCTCCAACAACCATCATCCACACTGACAAAGAAACAACTACTAACTCAGTGTTCTAACATCCGCAAACGGCAGCTCCTATCGCAACTAGAAATTGATGAGGTACAACTGACATGCTGCAGCAAGGAGGAGTCAGGACAACAGGTCAGTAGGGAAATATCATCATCCCAACACACAGAGATTGGGTCCCCAGCCCCAACAACAACAAGCCCACTAAACGTACAGCAGATCATAACCAAACTGGATCCCCTAGTACGATGACCAAAAGACTGCCAAGGCTAAGTGACAGAGTACCCTCTGAAAGTCTTCTAGAAGATGTAAATGCAGCACTACATACTATCCCTACTAAAAACATAACTGAGACCAACGAGCTGACCTACGCCACAGCTACAGTGATCCTAGAGATGCTTGGCTATAAGATAAACACCACAGGCCACAAAGCAGAGCCCCCATGGAGGAGAAGGCTGGAAGCCAAGATCAAGGCAACACGAAGAGAGGTTAGTCAGCTCTCAGACCTGCAGAAAGGTGTAGGGAAAAGGTTACCTAAGTACAACAAGCTGTCCATTCCTGAGGCTCTAGAAACTGCCAAACAAAGACTCGCCGCCCTGGCCACCCACCTAAAGAGATACAAGGGAGAAGCAGAAGCCAGGAGAATAAACCAGGTGTTCTCCACCAACCCATCCAAAGTGTACTCACAGTGGCAGGGTAATTCAAGATCTGATCCACCCAGGGCTGAGACTGAACAGTACTGGAGAAACATATGGGAGAAGGAGGCATCCCACAACACCAATGCTCAGTGGCTGGAAGATCTAAGAACAGATCACAGCAATCTCCCAGAACAAGAACCAGTAACCATTACAACGGCAGATGTCCAAGAAAGAGCGGCAGGTATGAAGAGCTGGACAGCACCAGGCCCTGACATGATCCACACCTACTGGCTGAAAAAACTAACCGCACTTCATGCACGCCTCGCAGCACAAATGAACCAACTGCTGATGGATGGGACCCACCCAGAATGGTTAACCCAAGGACGGACAATCCTGATCATGAAGGATACCCAGAAGGGAACAACCCCATCCAACTACCGGCCAATAACTTGCCTATGTACAACATGGAAGCTCCTGTCAGGCATCATAGCGGCTAAGATGAATAGGCACATGGCTCAATACATGCACCCTTCCCAGAAGGGAATAGGCAGTAACACCAGAGGAGCCAAGCACCAGCTACTAGTGGATAGAGCAGTCACTCGAGACTGTAAGACCAGGCAGACAAATCTGTGCACTGCCTGGATTTACTATAAGAAAGCCTATGACTCAATGCCACATACATGGATACTGGAATGCTTGGAAATGTACAAGATCAACAGGACTCTAATAGCCTTCATCAAGAACTCAATGAAGCTGTGGAAAACCAGTCTGGAAGTCAATGCAAAGCCAATAGCACAAGTCACCATCAAGTGCGGCATATACCAGGGTGATGCACTATCCCCGCTGCTGTTCTGCATAGGCCTGAACCCCCTCAGCCAGATCATCACAAAGACTGGCTACGGATACCAATTCCGAAGCGGAACAATCATCAGTCACCTCCTCTACATGGATGACATCAAGCTGTATGCCAGGAGTGAGCGAGACATCGACTCACTGATCCACACTACCAGGATCTACAGCAACGACATTGGGATGTCATTCGGACTGGACAAGTGCGGTCGCATGGTCTGCAGGACAGCTACAAATACCTTGGGGTGCCACAGGCTAACGGAAACCACGAGGAGATGGCAAGAAAGACTGCCACAGCTAAATACCTACAAAGAGTAAGGCAGGTCCTGAAAAGTCAGCTGAATGGGAAAAACAAGATCCAAGCCATCAACACATATGCCCTACCAGTCATCAGATACCCCGCTGGTATAATAAACTGGCCAAAGGAGGAGATAGAGGCCACTGACATCAAGACAAGAAAGCTCCTCACAATGCATGGAGGGTTCCACCCCAAATCCAGCACCCTGAGACTGTATGCCAAGCGTAGCGAGGGAGGCCGAGGGCTAGTGAGTGTCAAGACCACTGTCCAGGATGAAACAACTAAGACCCAGGAGTACATCAGAAAGATGGCCCCCAAAGACAAATGGCTTGGTGAATACCTCAGGCAGGAGAAAACCGAAAGCGAGGACAAGAAAGAGGAAGGAGAACCATCATGGAGGGACAAGCCACTGCACGGCATGTACCACAGACAAATAGAAGAAGTGGCTGATATCAAAAAATCCTACCAGTGGCTGGAGAAGGCTGGACTGAAGGACAGCACAGAGGCACTAATCATGTCAGCACAAGAACAGGCACTCAGTACAAGATCAATAGAGGCCAGGGTCTACCACACCAGGCAGGACCCCCGATGCAGACTGTGCAAAGATGCCTCTGAAACAATACAGCACATAACAGCAGGGTGTAAAATGCAGGCAGGAAGTGCATACATGGAACGCCACAACCAGGTAGCTGTCATAATGTACAGGAACATCTGCCATTAGTATGGGCTGGAAGTCCCAAGGTCAAAATGGAAGACACCTCCTAAGGTAGTTGAGAATGACCGAGCTAAGATCCTATGGGACTTCAAGATCCAGACTGACCAACAGGTGATGGCTAACCAACCAGACATCGTGTTGATCGACAAACAGCAGAAGAAGGCAGTAGTGATAGATGTGGCAATCCCAAGCGACAGCAACATCAAGAAGAAAGAACACGAGAAGCTTGAGAAATACCAAGGGCTGAAAGAGGAGCTAGAAAAGATGTGGAAAGTAAGAGCAGCAGTGGTGCCAGTGGTAATTGGAGCACTGGGGGCTGTGACCCCCAAACTGGGAGAGTGGCTACAGCAGATTCCAGGTAAAACATCAGAGGTCTCTGTCCAGAAGAGCGCAGTCCTAGGAACAGCTAAGATACTGCGCAGAACCCTCAAACTCCCAGGCCTCTGGTAGAGGACCCGAGCTTGAGGATGACACATACCACCCCACGAGGGGTGAGAAAACAGTTTTTTTTATATATATATATATATATATATATATATATATATATATATATATATATATATACACAAGTCATGGGTATTTGTTGATGGCATTAAGATTATTTCTAAGAGCATTAAATAAAAGTTACTCATTTATGTATAAACCCTGTTATTGATTTTTTATTTCAAAATTCAAAGTATAACATGGATGCATAAACGCCTCATTTTATTTCAGTGTTAAATTCTGTTTAAAGTAACAGATCGTTAAAAATGTCTCCGGAACTTTACTGGTTGATGACTTTCTTTATTCGGACCCCAATGGTTTTTAATTGGTTATTCCTGATCTAACAGTTTGAAACGTGGATAAAATCTGAATGTTGTGATGGAGCCGCTTCCCACTCAGAGCCTTCCCTCCGTTTCATTCAGCCAATCTGCGGTTGACACTTTCAGGGGGGCTGTCAGGAATTTGGGGCCCCATGAAAGACATCACTATTGGGCCCTCAACTCAATTTGCCAAACATCTAATATTTAGCTGATGTTAACCCTCTGAGGACTGCAGCGTTTATCCTGCTGTCCGTCTGGTTTGTAGATGTAAATTCTCAGCCCTCTGTGTTATTTACAGACACCCAATAGGCTCAATAAACTCTGGATTAATCCTGGTTTATTTTTTCTTTAAAACTAAAACCAAAACACAATAACTATAAAAAACTTGCAATCATGCTCCGTTTCAGACGCACCCAGCTGGGCGGCATCATTAATGAAGTGATTCTGCTCCGACATTTAAGGAGAATAACTAAGTAGTTCTATCCAGCAGATCTTAATTTATTCAACAGGTTAATAATCTATTATTAATCTGAATTATTCAGGTAACAAACCTTTCTGAAAGAAACGAGAGGAGGGAAAAGTCTGGGTCAGGGTATGGGATGCCTTCTCTCTCTCCTCTTCTTCCTTTTCTTCCTTTTTGAAACCCAGACGTTGGGACGCTCCATTTTTCCCCTGCAGATGTTTTTACAAAACTGCTGCTTATTTACACATTTTCTTGTTAATTAGTTTCTTTTATTATCACTGCGTCAAATGAGGCGGCATTTAAGCCCCGGATCGAGCGAGCTGCTGGTGATAGACGGGGAGAACCGATGCGATGCAGGACCTGAGGACCAAACCATTTATTGCAATTTCACGGGAGGGGGGGGGTGCTTTGCTTCAATGTTAACTGCAGAAAAATAAGGGAGAACATGAAGATTATTTATTTTACTGCTGGATTTTTTCCTCTCCACTGTCGCTACAAGCATGCTTAGTGTGAGGGATTGCTGAAGAGTCAATGAGTCGATGCAATCAGCTGGTTTTCCTTAGATAGAAAACTTTGAATCAATCTGACTGGATGATCTGGTGAACTGGAAAGTGACCTGAGATGACATGATGTGAATTGGAGCTATAGAAATAAACTGAATAGAATTCAGTGGTTTTCATCCGGATCAGAAGAACGTTCCTGATAGAAGACAGAGGTTACATCTTCAGTTCAGCAGTGTTGACCTTTGCCCCTTCCTGTCTGCTCTCTCTCCTTCCTTAACTTTCTGCCTATTCCTGCTTCACTCATCTTGGCGACTCAGCAGAAAACGTCCCACCAACCTGAGGGCCGTGGTCCCTGTGCTCCGGCAGCCTGCGCGAGTCTCTGAGCAGCAGAACCTCGTCATTTTTCAGGCTGTGTGCGTGGAGAGACCTGAGGAGCTCACACAGCCCCCCAGGCAGGGAGGATAGAGCCTGGGGAAATAAACAAACACAATCAGAACAAAAAAAACAACAAAACAGCCGGTAAAGCAGCCGTTCAGGGTCACCTACCTGCTGGGTGACATCCTCTCCTTCATTGTGCCTGGGCAGACACACAAAATGAATCTGAAAGATCAGAAATTAAGGTCAGCATCATGTTCTCTTTGCTTCATTAGCAGGCTGGCATGTGTGGCTAACCTCCGACAGCCGCGTGGTGTCTCTGCTCGGCAGCTCCAGGCCAACGCTGCACAGCTCCTTCTTGTTCCTAAGGAGGCTCTTTGCAGACTGCGCTCCGGAGTCACGCACCGTCTGCAAGCACACATGCAGGACAGGCTGAGGAGGAAGCAAAGGTTCTGGATCCCTGCTGGCAGAATGACGCTAACAGCGTCGCTGCTGGAAGCAGCGCTTCTATTTTGCTTCAGCTGATATTTGAGGCCGTTTTTAACCCCCGCTGCATTCCTATAGAACACGGAAAGTAGACCACAACCCAGGAAGGTTTGGCTGTTTAAAAAGGCTTCCTGAATGTGGTCGGATGTTTACCTCCAGCCATCTTCACCGAGCATCTCATCAAGCCAGAGAACTCATCCAGACATCAACTAAAGGCGGCCATCTTAGCTGTGATGTCATACTGCTAGGGCCTACCATAGACGATATAAACGTAGACGCCTCACTGGACGCTGTCGGCAGCGAGGCCGACGTGCCTAGAGGGCGGCCATCTTGGGTCAGACCAAAATTCAGAGAGCTGCACTGGAAAAAAATTACTAAAGTCATTTTTTCCCAAAATAAATGCATTTTTTCTTGAATTGAGGAGGTAAAAGAGACATTTTGCCAACGGAACAAGAATACTTACATTTAAAATAAGAATTACATTGTCTTATTTCTAGGGCTAATTATCTAATTATCTTATTTTAAGAGAAAAATTACTCATTCCATTGGCAAACTACCTCATTTATCTACTCAAATTAAAGGTAAATACACTTTATTTCAGAAATTTGTACTTATTTCTAGATCGGTTTTCCAGTGTGTTGTCAGAATGAATAGGAGGCGTCTTAGATCTCATTTTAATCACATGAAAGACGATTCAGAGATAATATTATAATAATCTCTTCCAGGTAACAACCACTGAAAGACCAAAAGCATTTTTAAAATGACCTTTCAGTTAGATTACACAGATTTATTCAGAAAAAACTATTTAAACTGAACTAAATCTGGATTAGATATATGCAGTTATATATTTTGCAACTTTTTAAAAGTTTTATTTGTTTTTACAAATATTAAATATTGATATAGTGTATTATTATTGTTATTCAGTATTTTAAAGGAATGCTCTTTGATAATGAGTATTATGATCTATGGAGGAAAATTTGTTGTAATGCGATTTACAAAAGAGAGTCAAGTTTTTTTTTATTAAATGTATGTACATTTATATTTATTTTTTGTCAATGTCCATACTTTGTTCTAAAATTGTAGTGAAGGGTAAATATATGCCGTGTCTAACTAAAAGCCTTTTGTCCTTATAAGTTTGTCTAAACTTCTTCCAAAACTCTTAAATTTTTTTTATGCATATGTGAACGCTTGTTTTTTAATCAGTCAATGTGTGTCATATATAATATATATTTGTATATTTCTATTTTAGAACTAGTTTTGGTCTTTTAAGTGGTGAAATATCAGAGATTATTGTAATATCATCTTTGCCTGGTCTTTCCTGTGATTAAAATGAGATCTACGGCGCCTCCTAATTATTCTGACAGCAGCTGCCTGAACTGTGGTCTGACCCAAGATGGCCGCCCTCTAGGCACGTCGGCCAGCGTCCAATGAGGGGTCTATGTATATAGTTTATGGTGCCTACTAGGGCTGGGTATTTTGGCCAAAGTCCTGAATCGATTCATTTCGATTCGATCTGTTTTTAAAATAATGAAAGTGGTTCAACTGTTTATTTTTTTTCCCTGTCACATTAAACACAAAGTGCAAACTTGTAAATCAGACAGTTTAAACTTGAGATGTTAACAAAACTGTCTCAAAAGTGCAAACTTGTTTGTGAAAAGTGAAAAAGTGAAGCCTCACTCGAGCAGGCAGACATGCATGAGCTGCATTATCTGCACTGAACAAACCATATTAGCAGCGCTGTCTGTAACAACTACAGGGTGTTTGCTGGTCAGCCTCCATTTGTCTTCAGTCAACCTATTGGTTATATTTGCAGCTGTCTGGCTTGAAGTCATTGTGGTGGTCTGTAGCACGAGATGCAAGGCGCCACTCATCAGGCGTTAGGGTTGCATCAGGCTGAGCTCAAAGTACTGTCGTTTAAGACGGCTCTGTTAATTGTCTCTGCTAAGCGTGTGAGCGATCTCCATGTGCTTTCAGTGAATCTACGCTGTGGGGACTCTAAGGTGGAACTGAAACCCAACCCTGCTTTTATACCAAAGATTATTAACCCTGCTCCATCATGCCGCCCTCTTGAGTTGGTGGCCTTCTACCCTCCTCCCTTTTCCCTCTCTGGAGCAGGAGCGACTCCACTCGCTCTGCCCAGTGTGAGCTCTGTGGATGCATGTGGAGAAAACAGCTGGTTTCTGCAAATCTGATCAGCTGTTTGTATCATGGTCCCCACCACATAAAGGAAAACCCTCACTAAGCAACGTCTCTCACATTGGATAGTGGGAGCTATTATCATGGCTAATGAGGTTAAGGGCCTCTCGCCCCCTGCAGGCCTGCCAGCTCATTCCACCTGTGGTATGGCATCATCCTGGGAAATCTGTGGGGCTACACTGGCCCACACGGTTCTGGGTGTGGGACCTTAACCTTTATAAGTTAGGTCTTTAAGTAAGCTTATCTGGCAATACGGGAGTTACAGCATCCCATAGTGAGATCCCAAAACAAATGTTGAAAGAGAACTTTAGGTTAAGGAATTAAGCCCGGTTCTCTGAAACATCAGTGACGTATCTCACCAGATCACCCTCCTTACCTGGAGCGAGGAAGAGGTGTGCTTACTAGGCTGAGGATCACCAACGTGATGTCAGGTTCTTATACTGAGGATAAGTCCCTCCCCCAGCAGCAGACATCACCTCTGTGAGCCAGTCATGACTGGCGTAATGTTAAAGAGCTTCTGGAGACGGCGCTGGGGGCGTGTCCCTTAGTGAGATACCTCACTAATGTTTCAGAGAACTGGGGATAATTCCTTAACTAAAGTTCATCCAGATTACCATCCTGCCTTCAAAGATTATTTCTCTGTGGGAGCCGCTCAGACCCCCACATACCGGCGCTGCGCTGTCACTGGGAATCCCCAGCAGCAGCTGCCTCAGGCCCGCTCGCCTCTCCAGGGTTTTCCCCTCCTGTTGGTGGCGGCTGGAAGTAGATGTTAGCGTTTTTCAGGTCTGTGCTACAAACTGCAGGCAGCAGGATAATAAAAGCCAACATATTCTGCCGGCAGGTTTCTACATTTGAAGTTAATTTAGGCGTTAATAAACGGTTTCAGAGGAGTGATCATAGCGCTCTGCATCAGCAGTGCTGCGTCTGACTCCCTGCCAGCTCCCAGATCAGCTTCTCTCATTGGTTGATGCAGCGCATCCAGCAGCTAATGCTTGTGAAGCGCCTCAGATGCTCATGAGGCGCCGCTGCTCCTGCTGGTCTAGACGCTGAAGGACCTTTAGCTGCACCTTAATGCGCGTCAACCATTGACTTAAAGGAATAGTACACCCAAAACATGATTAGCCTTCATTTTCTACTCACTCCCATGCTGAACAACACTCTGGAGTACTTTTTTGATATCTCAAATGCATCTGGAGATCTGGGAGGCTTCTTGCTGTCTGCTGACATTCAAATAATGGAGGTCTATGGCGCCCGAGGCAGAAAGGTCCATAAAAGTCCACAAAAAACGTGTCAATATTCCTCCATACTGCTCGTCCAATGTATTCCAAGTGTCCTGAGTGGGTAGCATCCAGAATTTACTCGAAATGAAGTCATTTAGAATGTTTTTAGAGCATAAACAGTAGTGTATAGGATTTCCTGAAAAGCATGGGGGTGAGTAGAAAATGAAGGCTAATCATGTTTTGGGTGTACTATTCCTTTAACATGTAAACTAGCTGCTTCTTCTGCCTCTGCTGCTTGCGGTCTGAACGTACCATTCAATCTTTAGCATCGTGAATAAACACAACCACCCAGGATTGGACTCCAGGAAACTGCACTAAGGAGGGATTTATTTAATAGATCTGGAAGCAGATAATTTGCATAATGAGTCGAATCCTTTTCTTTCTCTGTGTTAGCGGACCGGTGAGCAGAGAGGCGGTCCAGCCGAGGTCTTAAGAGGGCGTCTGATCATTATTCTCCTTCCTAACGGTGTTACCTAACATTTCACACAACGGATCTTTTAGACAAATCATTTTAATAAAACATCCTGGCAGACAAACCTCTCGTCTGATGGGCGCCCTGGACCTTACAAGGACTCCTCGGACACGAACACCCGCGTCCATGACAACGGAGAGCCGCTGGTCGTCCGACTGTACGTTCACCTGGAAACAGAAACAGCATGGACTGTTAATGACCTCCTGATATCGTGAGTATCAACAGAAGAAGAACTGCTGTGCCCTCCCTTCCTCCATGACATCACCTCCGTGAAGCACCGTCAACCACTGATCTCCATTTATTCACCTGGGGTGCAACGATAGCAGGAAGGAATAGATGGCGTCCCTTCATGCCCCTCTCAAATCCGATGACTGTGAAATTACCTGTGGAACGTCTTCCCAATGCTTCACAGGTGGGTATTTTTACTGCGTGTCTCTGTGGGAGTGGGGAGTACCAATATGGCGGCCGTTGAATAAATAGAGATCAGTGTCGTCAACATAAACGGCAACCTTTACGTTCAAATAAAAACAGGAAGAGGTCAGGAGGTTTGATCTGCAGGAGTTTAGCCGTTAGCATCTAGTAGCTTTACAATCAGACACGACGGAACTCTTAACGATGGGATGTAGGTCTGGGGATTTAACTAGGCCGTTCTAGGAGGATTCTGCTTTGATCCTTCACCGCATTTCTGGCTGCATGTTTAAGGTCCAACCTCAGTCCAAAGTCTTCTGCAACCTGATGTGGTTTGATGCAGACCAAAAAAAGATGCGGTCTCATCTGACCTCAGCCTCCATGTTTGTCCTGTCAAACTGAAAGAATGACTTCAAGGTTCAAACTCTGGTTTAAGTTTAAGTTCACTTCCAACCGTGAGAAACCCTGATGAATCACTATTATGCTGCGGAGAAGTACCTCAGGTCTGTGACCCGCCTGGACGATCAAACGGAGGCTTTTCTGTGTGTGTCAGAGCGAACGGAAACAGACTGCTGAGCATGGAGAGAGGAGGCAAAATATTTACAGTGAAACAGGAGGAAGTTTTCCCATGAAACCCAAACCTCTCCTTTGAGGTGCGATCCAGAGCGGTCGGCTGAGTCAAGATGCGGGCAGGTGGGGCGTCTGAGTCCGTCCTGCATCCTGAGCGGCTGCTGGGGAACAACCGGCGCAGTCAGCTTCCTCTGCTGCTCCGCGACCTCCTGCTTCCCTCACTGCTCTAAATAAGAGCCAAACCTCAGCTATGCGCAGCCTCAGGTTCAATCAACGGAAGACGCCAAAGTCACGCCATCTTCATTCAAGGCATGAAGTTAAACTTTCACACCAATGCAATCAGTGATTGTGAGCAAATCTATCAATGCTCAGGAGTTTTGAATCTCACAGCGAAAGCAAAAAAACTAGGGATGCACGATATAATCGGCCCCCTATCGGTATCGGCCTTAAAACTGAATATCGGACATCGGCCACCCCACCGATATTTAACACGATATTTGATCAGCTTCTGAGTTTCTAAAGTCTAAAAAAAAAAAAATTAATACTACTTCTTCTTCTTCCTCAAAAACTTCTTTTCTACAGGCTTAAAAACTTCTAAAGACGAAGGAAAAAATATTGATCCATTAAAATATCCCAATATCTTCATATGTTGATATATTGCCATTTAAAAACACCATATCAATCTCTTTTACTAATGAAATATTGCTATATGTCATCGTTATGCTACGAAATCCCCCGAAAATTCACCAAATGTTGCCATATTTTTATATGTTGATATATTGACGCGGTATCGATCTATTTTACTAACAAAATCTCACAAGAATTTGCAAAATATCACGAGTTTAAAACAGAACGATGAAATTTCACCAGATTTTAAAAGTAAAATAGATCGATACCGCGTTTTTAAAAATCTATTTGATATCAGCATATGGAAATATATTTGAGTATATTATTTTTCAAAGTGTCAGAAATGGATAACAAAACTGCTATTTTCAATGATTACTTATTTTTGTCCAGCTTTAACATCGGTATCGATATCGGTTATCGGCTACATGAGTTTTAAAATATCGGCATATCGGATATCGGCCAAAATCTCAATATCGTGCATCCCTAAAAAAAACTTAACCTGAACCAGGCAGGTTGCCATGGAGACGGAGAAACAGAGGGTCAGGGGAGAGGGGCGGAGCTTAAGGAACACCTGACAGTCGTTCTGGATTCGCCTTTCAAGGATTAAGGATCGTTTTCTGGTAGCAGCAGGAAAAACTGCAACCTTTGATTTGAAATATTAAAGAGTTGCTTTCACAGCCTCGGCGCTCATCGCCACACCCAGTGTGACATCACCGCCACTGACAGCAGGAAGCATGATGGTGACAGGGCGAGCCAACACAAAGCCTCCAGCAGAACATCGTCTGTTTGCTGATTTCATCAAACGTTTTACTGAACCGTGTCTCTGTGTGATGATTAAGCTCCTCTGTTCTCTTTAAGGTCAGTTTCAGCTCACTTTGCCTTCTGGATGCTCAGGGACGCTCAACATTTCTCAAGCGTACTTCAGCGTATTTCAATGTGCTTCAGCGTACTTCAACATGTTTCAGTATACTTCAGCGTGTTTCGGCTTACTTCAGCATATTTCAAAATGCTTCAGCGTTCTTCAGCGTATTTCAATGTGCTTTAGCGTACTTCAGCGTGTTTCAGTTTACTTCAGTGTGCTTTAGTGTGCTTCAGCATACTTCAGCATTCTTAAAGCGTATTTCAATGTGCTTCAGCGTTCTTCAAGCGTACTTCAGCGTACTTCACCATTCTTCAAGTGTACTTCAGCATATTTCAATGTGCTTCAGCGTTTTTCAAGCGTTCTTCAAGTGTACTTCAGCATATTTCAGCGTGCTTCAGTGTACTTCAGCATGTTTCAGTGTACTTCAACGTATTTCAGTGTACTTCAGCATATTTCAGTGTACTTCAAGCGTATTTCAGTGTACTTCAAGCGTATTTCAGAGTATTTCAATGTGCTTCAGCGTTTTTCAAGCGTTCTTCAAGTGTACTTCAGCATATTTCAGCGTGCTTCAGTGTACTTCAGCATGTTTCAGTGTACTTCAACGTATTTCAGTGTACTTCAACGTATTTCAGTGTACTTCAAGCGTATTTCAGAGTATTTCAATGTGCTTCAGCGTTCTTCAGCGTGCTTCAGTGTACTTCAGCATGTTTCAGTGTACTTCAACGTATTTCAGTGTACTTCAGCATATTTCAGTGTACTTCAAGCGTATTTCAGTGTACTTCAAGCGTATTTCAGAGTATTTCAATGTGCTTCAGCGTTCTTCAGCATGCTTCAGTGTACTTTAACGTATTTCAGTGTACTTCAGCGTATTTCAGCATTCTTCAAGTGTACTTCAGCATATTTCAATGTGCTTCAGCGTACTTCAGCATGCTTCAGTGTACTTCAGCGTATTTCAGTATACTTCAGCGTATTTCAGTATACTTCAGCGTGCTTAAGAGTTTTCACTGTGCTTCAGAAGCTCATAACTTATAGCAAACATCCCCATAACTTGTTTTTGCCAGGTTTTTCGTAGGTCAGGCTACACTGGTCTAAATCATCAGAAGCTGAACATCACCTTCCATCCATATATTTGATGATATCTCTCTTTTAATGGTGAATGGCTTCTTATGTCCAGTTCATTTTTGAAGTGAAAATGTTGAACTTTTTGGTGGCCGCTTTGGTTTTGGCAGGGACGCATGAAAACATCATCATTGTGCTTTTGAAGGAAAAACCGACGTTTTAGATTCATCTGGTGCCGTTTTCCAACAAGCAGAGACAGAGGAAGTTCTCTCTGCAGAAAGCAGCTATTTTCACCTGAAACTCGTCAAGTTCAAAAACATAAAACACATGGTGCTCATTGTGAGACCACCTCTGTCTTCTTCCTCTGTCCTCCTAAATGTTACGCAATATCTAATGCAGGGTTGGGTATTTCCAGCTCCTGCAACTTTTAGATGTGCCTTCGGTTGGATGTAAACGTTTCAGGATACCAACTTTCCTTTTTGATAATGCTTCTAGTTAGAGTGGCTCAGGTTATCCTGATCTATCTCTATAGTTCTGCTGCTATAGGCTTAGACTGCTGGAGGACATAGGGACCCCTTTTTCTTCATCCTGCTTCATTCTATCTCTATTCTCCCACTCTGCAGAATCTGTTAGTTCAATCTTTAACGTTCTGCTCTCTCTGCTTTTCTCATAGTAGCTTCATCTGGTCTGTTCCTGTTTGGCTGTGACTCCATCCTGGAGAGAAATATCAGCTGTGCTGCTGCCATCAACACCTTTGTTTATAGATGCAGGAGATCGGCCTGTTTTCCAGTGTAGTCCTGTTTCTCTGACTGTGACTAACTGGATGTGCTCTCTTCATCCTCTGACATGGGAGCTGGCTCGGAGCTCGTCTGCCTGGCTTTGTGTTTCCTGGACGGGGCCGCCTGTGGAGCTGGTTGACAGTTGCCTTTTGTATCTATGCTTCTTTTTCTATGTCTGCTTCTGTCTCCTTGAACCCCAGTGGGCCTCAGCAGATGGCCGCTCACACTGAGCCTGGTTCTGCTGGAGGTTTCTACCTGTTAATAGGGAGTTTTTCCTCTCCACTGTCGCTACAAGCATGCTTAGTGTGAGGGATTGCTGAAGAGTCAATGAGTCGATGCAATCAGCTGGTTTTCCTTAGATAGAAAACTTTGAATCAATCTGACTGGATGATCTGGTTGAACTGGAAAGTGACCTGAGATGACATGATGTGAATTGGAGCTATAGAAATAAACTGAATAGAAAATAGTTCAACTGGACTCCATTTAATTTCTAATATTTATGTCCATAAAGCATAAAGAACGTGTTTGCTGCTGTCTGGAGAGGTGATGTTAACACTGAAATAAAATCCACTCAAACAGGCAGACAGGAAATACTTCACAGTGGGAAGAAGCCGCAAACATCGCATCGATCCTGGCCGGATGGCTGCGCTGCTGGCCGGGAGGCTCCCACCAGGACAGGCGGCTGCTTCAGGGGGAGCAGCCGCCTGTCGGCCCCGGCAGCAGGGCAGCAGGCCACGGAGGAGCCTCGCTGCGGATGGTGATGGAGAGCTGAGGTCCAAACAGACCAGACGCTTCTAGAAAATGACATCAGTCCGCTGCCCGGTGGGCTGTCAATCACGGAGCTAGCAGCGCGAGCAGGCAGGCCGCGCGCGCTCAGCTGTCCGCGTAACACCTCTGGCTAGCTGGGCCCAAAACACGACGCTGACATCGACACGCGTGGAAACCGCCTGCCTCCATTAAAACACAGCGAGCGTTTAAACATGTAGGAAAGGCCGGTGGGCGTCAGAAAGCCGCCAGAGCTTACCTCTTGGTCGGACTCCAGCAGCTCGGAGGGAGCCGCTGGCTGGGATGGGCGGCCCGATGGTGATTAGACAGCTTAGGCTTCATCTAACCTAAAGGAGGAACGGGGATCATCCTGTCAGAGCGGAGCCGGGATCTACCGTCTATATGCACATCTCAGACGCTTTTGATTTATTCTGATTAAAAATGGAAAACAATTGTCTGTCTGAAAGCCAGATGTTACCGTTCATTTACCGAGAACCGAACGACACGGCTCCAAGAATCGAAGCGAGCTTCACATTCACGGCCTGTTTCCCACAGTCTTCCCAGGAAAACAACAGTCAGGCATGAGCAGCAGAACACAGATAGAATTAAGACGTCGCCCCGTTTAAGGCAAAATAATCAAACACGAGCTGAGGAAGTACAATTAATTCCAATTTTATTTAATAAAAACTGTTAATAATAACTTGATAAATGTAGAATAAAATGAAGCTGAATGTTTGGGAGGTACAGAAGTGCGTCCTTCAGGTCCAAACACAGCATTCAACTCAGGTTTAAAATGTTTATTTCTCTTCCAGCGTGTCTGTTATAAATACGATGCTGTTCTTTGGGATCGATGTCACACTGATGACCTCGTTTGGGTCAAACTGTAGCTGTCTACACTCTAGAATACTTTATTATAAGGAGGTCATTGCAAAACAAGCCCAGGGGCGGATTTAGGAAATTTGGGGCCCTTGGCAAAGACAGGCAGGGGGCCCTCTGAATTGATAAGACAACTCTTCATTTAAGATGATGGTTTTATGCTTTTTGTCATTTCATGAAGTCGTTTGCCATGAAGTTTTATGCTCCATTTTTCTATTTTGTAAGCTTTTGCCCAGGAAATGGAGAAGCTGCAGGTTCAACCCTCCTCTGGCCTGACCATCCACAGGATCCCATAAAAGGTCCCGACCGGAATTATACAGCTGACTTCACAAAATGAGCCATGAGTGACGTTTCTGTCCAGGACTTTTAGTATAATCCGTCTGAAAGCAGCTGATAACTGCAGCATCTTCAGAACCAGCTGGTTTTACTCGGTTCTGGTCCTTTTCCTGGGAGTGATAAGCAGGGGCGGATTTAGAAAATTTGGGGCCCTAGGCAAAGACAGGCAGGGGGCCCTCTGAATAGAGAAGACAACACATCAAACAGCCCCATTCTCCAGATAGAGAAATGTTAATAGAATAGACATCCATTATCTGTTCTAGGTTGTGTCCCTCTCTTCTTGTCCCTTTTCTTCTTGTTTTCCTCTCTATGTTTTGTACTCAGCTGACTTTTCATGCTGTCTCTAAAGGAATGAAAGATTTTTTCCAAGCACTAAGCTCACTTAGCTGATTGCTCCTTCCTGTGTTTCCAAAAAGGCCAAAGTAAATAACCCAGTCCTTCTTTTCACTGTAGACAAGCCATGATCTGCTTATCTGTTCTCCATGTTTCATTTGGATGAAATAATAGCTGCATGAATCATGACAGCAGACAAGATAGAGGAGAGCAGGAGGCGGGGTTACCAATCTACTCGCTCTGGAGAGCAGAGTTCGCTGCTTTTAGATGTTGTCTCCAAAGTCTCCAGTTGCAGAAAAAAGTCTCTAGATTTGGCGCTAGGAGCTTTTTAGAAATCAAAGTGCTAGAGGGGTCTGAAAAGTGGCTAAATATAGCGACTAAAGCGCTAAGTTGGCAACACTGCTCTTTGCATGGTTTGTTTTCAAATGGTTTGCTGCTGTCTGTTTGGACCTTTCTGAACATGTGCAGCAAATGGACTGATCCAATATGGTGGACACTGAAGGGGGGGGGCTGAGACACAGTTAATATTATCAGCGTTCTGATGGCATTTTGAGGAAAGGATTTTTCTCAAAAACATAATTAATGTGCAGAAATAAGGAATAGTTGTATTAACCATACATGGAAACAGAGTTTTATGGGGCCCCCAGGAACTTGGGGCCCTAGGCAGCTGCCTAGTATTGCCTAATGGTAAACCCCTAACCCCACCCCCACCCCGGTCTGAACAGAAGGAGACAGAAAAACATGGTGCATATATATTTGGTTTTATTGAAAAGAGAAATATGAACAAGTAGCCTGTTTCAAGGCACCCTAAAATATACAACAAGGGCTGAATCATTTATTAATTCCCAATACAAAAATACACATCTGTGACTCCAAATGGTAATAAATAGGTAATCATGCATTCTAACCATAAAAAGGCACAGAAAACAGTTACTTATAGTAGTCATAGAAATGATCAACTACTTTACCAAAATCATCCAGATAGTAATACAGGTGAGAACTGTAACATTATATTCCAACTGTGAAAACACAATACGCGTTATATCATTAAAACCTTAGGCAATAAATATGCAAATATGTCTGTAGCTACATATATAGTCTTAAAAAGGAAACCTGTGCCGTTGTAAACATAATGTAAACAAATGAAACTTCTCCTTTAGGGAAACACAGCATCTTTTTCTGGATCTGTGTGGGTTTGTTAAAACCAGGCAGTTTGCAGCATTATTTACAGACCAGTGGGAAACACAGCCTGGGAGGCACGAGGCCACTCCCACTAGTGAACAGGAAGGGGAGGAGCTTTCTGGTCTGAGCAGGCAGAGGGCCGCCATGATGCCAGGGTTGGAGAGAATAAACCAACAGAAGGTTGGGATCTGAAGGAGACATTTTATCAATAATATGTACAAATTCATTGTTTAGTTAAACTACTGAAACCATCTCCTGCAATATGACGTCATTTCTCATAAATAAAGATCTTTGGCTGATTAACAGGAAGGGAAAACACAGATTAGTTTGTTTTATCAAATCAGGGAGCAACTCCGGTCAACTGAACTGATTGTCTCTGAAGGAAACTGAGCTGAAGCTGGGAAATGTCGCCCCCTGCTGGGAGATTATAGCTAACACATGATGAGGACTGCCCAACCAGATTTATTAAAAAATAATGTCTTGATTTTGTGATTTTTATTTATGCATAAATTATGAGCAGAAAATATGAACCTAAAATTTGACGTGTCTTTACTGCGCTCTGAAAAAACGACTAATTAGGGCTGCAACTAACCGTTATTTAGAAAATAGATTCATCTGTCGATTAATTTTTCAATTAATTGATAAATAATCAGATAGCCAAAGACTTTTTACTTAATTAAAACAGGTTAAACTAAATCTTTTCCACTTTAGGAGTTCTGGATAGAGCAGACTGACAGAGGAAAAATATATATTTTTTATCTTAAATGCAAAATATTTCTATATTTTTTCACATTTTTGGTATAATTCCTGCTCTAATTGGGCCGCTCTGTCAGCTTAAGGCATTTCTTAGAGTCTCTATACTCCAGTTAATGATAGAGCTCTAATTATTTAATGATTGTTTCAATAATTAATTAATTAAATTAATTGTTTCAGCCCTTTTTCCAAAGCTTTAGTTTTTCATATTTAGTCTCATTTTATATTTAAACCTCATTAAAGCTCCTTTTATCAGGATTTCAGGTATAAAAAAGAAAGAAAAGAAAGAAGGGCGTCTTTATCTGCGCTAAGAAAAGTAAATCAGGAAAACATTTTACACATAAAAATCTGCAGGGCTAAACTCTGATAGAATAATCAAAATAAAACCGCAGCCCAACAAACTCCTCACCAAGGGGACCTCATGGTGCATTTAATGCGTTCGTTTCTGTTAAAATTAATTAGTAGAAAACCTCCTTCAGCATCAAACATGGAAGACGGGGGTTCTGGTCACATCAGACCAACATTTAGGATTAAAAATGGATTTTATGACTCAGCTTCTATAAAGGATCGTCTCAGGAGGCGGAGTAGAAAAACATGCCGCACTTTTCAGACTGCATGGTGTTAAAACAGGCGTCCTTCCTGTTGGTTCATCACAGAAACTTTGAATCAAACACATTGATGGTTGTAACGGAGGATCAGCTGGTTTTTATCTCCCAAAATGGCGTCTTTGGGGGATTTCTCTTCTACTAAAATAGGTCTGCAATAAAGGAATGCATAAAAGATAGAATTCAGCATAGCATAAATATCTTTTGTTATTACTGTCTGCACTAATGTTACATAATTTAATACACTGAGAATATTTGTTAGGAAAAGTAAAAAGACCAAACAAAGTAGGATTGCTTTTCAGCTGAACGTGCTACAAACCGTCACCGTTTGTCCTAAAAACCACATTAAATCATCACATAAGACAACAGTCAGGTCCGCTCGGCGTCTCATTCCCCACACCCCCCCCCAGTCTTAGTAGCGCATCATCCTGGAAGCACAGAGGAGAAAATCTACCAAAAAAATCAACCACTGGAAGAAATGTGGAGGAAACTGACTTTACAAATCCTCACCCAGAAATATAGAAAATAGAAAGCAAACACTCTGCATTTCTCCCACAGATAAAAGTCGTTTTGCAAAGCTTCAGAGAACAAAACTAGAGATCATATATTGCACCATTAGAATACCACAATGTTAAGTAAGAGAGTTTAGAAGGAAAACCAGCGATGCACAACTGTTAGAGTTTTATACTCTGTCCGAAAGAGGAACATGCCAGGTCAGCAAACTACAAAATGCATAAGGCTACAACACCTACAAACATGGTTTGCATCCACTTATTTACTGTATGTACAGTGCATAAGTATGTACAAACGTAGCATCACACCTAGAAATATACCCTGTAACGCCATCAGTCAGAAACTAGCAGGTTAAAGTTTCTATCGAGGTGTAAGAAGAAGAAGAAAAGCTGCACTTGAGCAAACGTGATGCAGGCTGCAGGTCAGCCGCTTCCTTACAAAAAAACGCTTTCTATTTGCATTAATATGGAAGCATATCGCATTCACCATAGAAAAACAATCAGACAGCTTATCTCAGAATTAATCTCAGAATTCTGACTTTTTTCACAGAATTCTGACTTTTTTCTAAGAATTCTGACTTTTTTCACAGAATTCTGACTTTTTTCTTATATTATACAGAAATAAAATTAAAAAATCTGTTAACTTTTTTAATTTTTTCAGTGGCCCTAATCCTCTTCTGTACATATAGATGTGATGTTGGCAGGAATTTTATTTCAACTTATCAGGAAAATTCCTGCATCACAGACAAGTTATAGAAAATAAAGTCAACTACAGTAGATATGCACCATTAGACTGTACCTGTTAAAAGGTCGGTATCTGGTAATTATGAGATCCTGATCTCAATATCATGCAATCTTATCTTGTGATTATGAGAAAAGATCTCATAGTTATAATATGTTATGTTTAGGAGATGAGGAAGGACAGTCATTGCTGAGCTACGCTACATGAAACATGAACAATGAGTGGATTGTCAGATTTAATCTGCTTTTATTTCCTTTTAGTGGAGCGATGCTGGGAAATCCTGAGTTTCCTTAGTGTGAATGGAATTAGTTTTATTTGTGAGCATTGTGCAGTAGGTCCACTCTACTCTGACCTGCTGGAAGTCGCTCTGTTCCTGCAGGAGCATTTAAAGCAGCATTGGATGCTTTATGGCTATAAATGAATGCATCTGAAATGCTCCAGCTGGCTTGGTGGCATCCAGAGAACTGTCCTTCTCAAAATCCAAGATCCTCAAGGATTAGAGCTGAGGCTTCAGCATCGTTTAAATATACCAGTATATCATGCAGCATGTCGATTCATATGAAAAACTAAAACTAAACAGAATCTGGATTAATGGAGCTGTTGACAGATTTTCATGCATGGTTAAAAGGCTGCATGCTAACTCCACTAGTGGTAATCCAGGGTTATAGCTGCGTACTTTACAGACGAAGTGAAAAACAGGAGCGGAGCTCCAACGCGGATCAGACCTCGGTACAGAGAGACTGTTCAGTGAAACAGATGCAGAGATTTTAAAGTTGTAGGGAAATTATATTTAAATGTCGAATCGTTCTGGCTTAAACATGGATATAAATGTTCTCTTTATCAGACCAGATTGTCCCAAAACTTAGAAGATTTCTATTTCAAAATTTGGTTTAAAATCTGTGTTTTTTCCGTTATCTTCTGCAGGCCAGTTAGTTCTACGTCAGCCTGAACACCTAAATTCATCCAATCATATATCAACGGTCATCTGTCAATCACATTTTTCAGTCATAGCATCTTGATTCATCTGTCGCAGCTAATATACGCAACGGTTGAAACCAGAATCCTTTCCTTTCCCATTGAGTTGCGTCCCAGTGTTCACGGGGATGGACGTCTGTGTCTTCGGCAGGCGTAGAGCTAACAGAACTGGCAGCGTTGCGAGGCAAGGGCTCAAACATGTACGGCTGGAAGCCTTCTACACCAAACCAAGCTTCTGCCGCCCTGGCGTCCTCTTCCACAACATCTTCGTCCCCGCTTTCCTCCTCTAAATAAAAAATGGATGACGGAGGAGACTCATCCATCCGACACTAAACTCTCCTCCTCTTGCGTGTTTCCTCTGTCCATAGCGTTCCTTGACAGCGTCGTTTCTAAGTCACCTATTTAGTGCTACTTGGTCCCAATGAAATTTCCCATTGGGAACCTGCTAGCGCTAAGTTGCTAACTGGTTAGCAGCAAACCGACCAAAACCAGACTTGATTGCGAACCTTCCGCCACAACAATCCCGCCCCCTTGATAATCGACCGATCACATTCACTTTATTCACTCGTGTAAAGTCGGGCACCACTAAGGGAGAATTCGGAAATGCGACGTTTGGAACAGCCGCTTCCCTACGAATTTAAGAGTTAATGATGAAGACCAGTTTTCTGAGCGATGCTTCATTACTGGCTCAAATATTCATGACTCCATATATTCACAAGAACTCGTTATAATGAGATCTTTTCTCATAATAATGAGATAAGTTGTCTGATTTTTTTCTTTGGTGAATGCAGTACACTTCCGTACATCAGCCATCGGCCAAAAGGTACAAAGTTGAGGTGACTTTTTATTCTAAATAATGATATGAGGATTTATTCTTGCATAAAGCAAGATGTGAAAAGTGCCTTTTTATGTATTCCTAAAAAATACCGAGCGACTCTGATGGCACAGACCCACAGGTCTACTGGGAACCGCCTGGAACGGGATTCTGCTGGTCCCACCGGGAACCAGGCCCCCCAGCAGAAACCAAACCTTTCTGGCTTCATCTTCACATCCTGGTTGAGATAAAGCATGTTTCACCATAAACCACTGAACGTATGGCACTCCACAGGAACCTTTGACACGTCACCGTCATGCAAGCAAAAATAAATAACGACACGCGGGTTCAGACCCATCAGGTCGGGTTCAGTAGTGACGAATGGCGTCGCAATACTTCAAGTGTTTTCTCACACACCAAAAAAATCAAGACACTTATCATGCAGTAAAAGATACTTAAGGTTTAGCAAGCGTAGCATGCAGCGGCGGATGGCGAAGCGGCAGCAGAGTCCAGCCGCTTGCTGTCGCGCTCGGATGCGGCTGCGATCCGTCACCCTGGAAGCCTTAGTTATGCTACTGGTTCCCCGCAGCCCGGATCACTGGATGCCTGATGGTTTCCTGACGGCTGTGAGAGCAGATTTACTCTCAGAAAGCTTAAGTTGTGGTGAAGAATGGCGACTCGCTGTCGGACTTTTCCGGAACGCCATCCTGACACCGAAGCATGAACGGGTCCTGGTTCTGTCCGTGGCAGCAGAGGGGTTCAGCATCCTCCATCCTCTGTGTCGCTCCGAGGCGCGTTGGGGAACGGGGCCCCCCTCCCCTCTCTGCTGGGTTTACTGCCAGGTCAGAGGTCAACCATGAAGGCCTTGGCCAGCTCCTTAGTTCCCTGGAGAATTCTCTTCATATGACCCACTTTCGATATCCCCAGATCCTGAGACAAAGAAGGAGAAGCGATTTTATCAGGTGAGATTCTATCAGGATAAAACAGATTTCCTCATTTAGAATAACCCAAACTTCATGATCACCGCTAAACTGGCTGCTTTTCTGAATCCAGGATCGTTGCTCAGCAGGACATCCAGACCATAAAACAGTTAGAGTCAGACTGCGCTCCCGGCCAGGCCAGACGGTCCCACCACTGAAACCAGTTTCCGCACCAGTCACTGGTATCACTACCACTATCCAGGCTCTGACGTCCCGTTTTATTCTCTATTTTAGATTCTATCTAGCTTCAGTTGGTTCAGCTATTTAGTTCCTATCCAAACAATAATAGAGATGATAAAAAAAGTTCACTAATTAATCAATAAGCAAAAATAATATTTTCTTTGCCATTTGAGTAGGAATCCTGTGTAAAAACGTCCACTGATCAAACTAATGCTGCGTTCTCACTGGGCGCCTTCTGGGAGTCACAGACTCTGGTTTACATGCAAAGTCTATTGTGGACGGTGTAGAGAGGTCCAGCGGCGCATCCAAGCCGCTGGATGCCGGAGCATCAACCAATCAGAAGAGCTGATGCAGGAGTTTTCGGGGGAGACGGACTCTACCTGCAAGCTGTCATCGCGTCTGCAGACATTTTGCATGTGAAAATTAAATAAATATTAAACTCCAAAGGTTAAATAAAGCTGAAAGAATTGATTGCTATGAAGAAGGAACAGAGAGCAGCTCTGATCATTATTGCTGCACTAAAAGATTTTTTTATCAACTATGGAGAAACTGTTTATAAAAACCCAAATTAACAAGAAATGTTAAAACCTGCTGATGAAAAATACACAAAACTTAAAAAACTCTTTCTATTCACTTCCAGCCACTACGAACTGGTACAGTACAGACTGGTAACACCTTGCTCAGACTGGTAACTGCTGGCTCAGACTGGTAACTGCTGGCTCAGACTGGTAACCGCTGGCTCAGACTGGTAACCGCTGGCTCAGACTGGTAACCGCTCGCTCAGACTGGTAACAGCTGGCTCAGACTGGTAACTGCTGGCTCAGACTGGTAACCGCTGGCTCAGACTGGTAACCGCTCGCTCAGACTGGTAACAGCTGGCTCAGACTGGTAACTGCTGGCTCAGACTGGTAACACCTTGCTCAGACTGGTAACTGCTGGCTCAGACTGGTAACTGCTGGCTCAGACTGGTAACCGCTGGCTCAGACTGGTAACACCTTGCTCAGACTGGTAACAGCTGGCTCAGACTGGTAACTGCTGGCTCAGACTGGTAACTGCTGGCTCAGACTGGTAACCGCTGGCTCAGACTGGTAACCGCTGGCCCAGACTGGTAACACCTGGCTCAGACTGGTAACTGCTGGCTCAGACTGGTAACTGCTGGCTCAGACTGGTAACCGCTGGCTCAGACTGGTAACTGCTGGCTCAGACTGGTAACTGCTGGCTCAGACTGGTAACCGCTGGCTCAGACTGGTAACTGCTGGCTCAGACTGGTAACTGCTGGCTCAGACTGGTAACTGCTGGCTCAGACTGGTAACCGCTGGCTCAGATTGGTAACCGCTGGCTCAGACTGGTAACCGCTGGCTCAGAATGATAACTGCTGGCTCAGAATGGTAACAGCTGGCTCAGACTGGTAACACCTTGCTCAGACTGGTAACAGCTGGATCAGACTGGTAACCGCTGGCTCAGACTGGTAACCGCTGGCTCAGAATGGTAACTGCTGGCTCAGAATGGTAACAGCTGGCTCAGACTGGTAACACCTTGCTCAGACTGGTAACAGCTGGATCAGACTGGTAACCGCTGGCTCAGACTGGTAACAGCTGGCTCAGACTGGTAACAGCTGAGTCAGACTAGTAACTGCTGGCTCAGACTGGTAACCGCTGGCTCAGAATGGTAACTGCTGGCTCAGAATGGTAACACCTGGCTCAGACTGGTAACTGCTGGCTCAGACTGGTAACTGCTGGCTCAGACTGGTAACCGCTGGCTCAGACTGGTAACCGCTGGCTCAGATTGGTAACCGCTGGCTCAGACTGGTAACCGCTGGCTCAGAATGGTAACTGCTGGCTCAGAATGGTAACAGCTGGCTCAGAATGGTAACAGCTGGCTCAGACTGGTAACAGCTGGCTCAGACTGGTAACCGCTGGCTCAGACTGGTAACCGCTGGCTCAGAATGGTAACTGCTGGCTCAGAATGGTAACAGCTGGCTCAGACTGGTAACACCTTGCTCAGACTGGTAACAGCTGGATCAGACTGGTAACCGCTGGCTCAGACTGGTAACTGCTGGCTCAGACTGGTAACAGCTGGCTCAGACTAGTAACCGCTGGCTCAGACTGGTAACCGCTGGCTCAGAATGGTAACTGCTGGCTCAGAATGGTAACACCTGGCTCAGACTGGTAACTGCTGGCTCAGACTTGTAACTGCTGGCTCAGACTGGTAACCGCTGGCTCAGACTGGTAACTGCTGGCTCAGACTGGTAACCGCTGGCTTAGACTGGTAACACCTGGCTCAGACTGGTAACCACTGGCTCAGACTGGTAACAGCTGGCTCAGACTGGTAACACCTTGCTCAGACTGGTAACTGCTGGCTCAGACTTGTAACTGCTGGCTCAGACTGGTAACCGCTGGCTCAGACTGGTAACAGCTGGCTCAGACTGGTAACCGCTGGCTCAGACTGGTAACACCTGGCTCAGACTGGTAACCACTGGCTCAGACTGGTAACAGCTGGCTCAGACTGGTAACACCTTGCTCAGACTGGTAACAGCTGGATCAGACTGGTAACAGCTGGCTCAGACTGGTAACCGCTGGCTAAGACTGGTAACAGCTGGCTCAGACTGGTAACTGCTGGCTCAGACTGGTAACTGCTGGCTCAGACTGGTAACAGCTGGCTCAGACTGGTAACCGCTGGCTCAGACTGGTAACTGCTGGCTCAGACTGGTAACCGCTGGCTCAGACTGGTAACTGCTGGCTCAGACTGGTAACCGCTGGCTCAGACTGGTAACTGCTGGCTCAGACTGGTAACTGCTGGCTCAGAATGATAACAGCTGGATCAGACTGGTAACACCTTGCTCAGACTGGTAACAGCTGGATCAGACTGGTAACAGCTGGCTCAGACTGGTAACAGCTGGCTCAGACTAGTAACTGCTGGCTCAGACTAGTAACTGCTGGCTCAGACTGGTAACTGCTGGCTCAGACTGGTAACCGCTGGCTCAGAATGGTAACTGCTGGCTCAGAATGGTAACAGCTGGCTCAGACTGGTAACCGCTGGCTAAGACTGGTAACAGCTGGCTCAGACTAGTAACAGCTGGCTCAGAATGGTAACTGCTGGCTCAGACTGGTAACCGCTGGCTCAGAATGGTAACTGCTGGCTCAGACTGGTAACAGCTGGCTCAGACTGGTAACAGCTGGCTCAGACTGGTAACTGCTGGCTCAGACTGGTAACCGCTGGCTCAGAATGGTAACTGCTGGCTCAGACTGGTAACAGCTGGCTCAGAATGATAACTGCTGGCTCAGAATGGTAACAGCTGGCTCAGACTGGTAACACCTTGCTCAGACTGGTAACAGCTGGATCAGACTGGTAACCGCTGGCTCAGACTGGTAACCGCTGGCTCAGAATGGTAACTGCTGGCTCAGAATGGTAACAGCTGGCTCAGACTGGTAACACCTTGCTCAGACTGGTAACAGCTGGATCAGACTGGTAACCGCTGGCTCAGACTGGTAACAGCTGGCTCAGACTGGTAACAGCTGGCTCAGACTAGTAACTGCTGGCTCAGACTGGTAACCGCTGGCTCAGAATGGTAACTGCTGGCTCAGAATGGTAACACCTGGCTCAGACTGGTAACAGCTGGCTCAGACTGGTAACTGCTGGCTCAGACTGGTAACAGCTGGCTCAGACTGGTAACCGCTGGCTCAGAATGGTAACTGCTGGCTCAGAATGGTAACACCTGGCTCAGACTGGTAACCGCTGGCTCAGACTGGTAACCGCTGGCTCAGAATGGTAACTGCTGGCTCAGAATGGTAACAGCTGGCTCAGACTGGTAACCGCTGGCTCAGACTGGTAACAGCTGGATCAGACTGGTAACCGCTGGCTCAGACTGGTAACAGCTGTCTCAGACTGGTAACAGCTGGCTCAGACTAGTAACTGCTGGCTCAGACTGGTAACCGCTGGCTCAGAATGGTAACTGCTGGCTCAGAATGGTAACACCTGGCTCAGACTGGCAACTGCTGGCTCAGACTGGTAACTGCTGGCTCAGACTGGTAACCGCTGGCTCAGACTGGTAACTGCTGGCTCAGACTGGTAACCGCTGGCTCAGACTGGTAACCGCTGGCTCAGACTGGTAACTGCTGGCTAAGACTGGTAACCGCTGGCTCAGACTGGTAACTGCTGGCTCAGACTGGTAACCGCTGGCTCAGACTGGTAACACCTGGCTCAGACTGGTAACCACTGGCTCAGACTGGTAACAGCTGGCTCAGACTGGTAACACCTTGCTCAGACTGGTAACAGCTGGATCAGACTGGTAACCGCTGGCTCAGACTGGTAACAACTGGCTCAGACTGGTAACTGCTGGCTCAGACTGGTAACTGCTGGCTCAGACTGGTAACCGCTGGCTCAGAATGGTAACTGCTGGCTCAGAATGGTAACACCTGGCTCAGACTGGTAACCGCTGGCTCAGACTGGTAACTGCTGGCTCAGACTGGTAACCGCTGGCTCAGACTGGTAACTGCTGGCTCAGACTGGTAACTGCTGGCTCAGACTGGTAACCGCTGGCTAAGACTGGTAACAGTTCGCTCAGACTGGTAACAGCTCGCTCAGACTGGTAACAGCTGGCTCAGACTCGTAACCGCTGGCTCAGACTCGTAACTGCTGGCTCAGACTGGTAACAGCTGGCTCAGACTGGTAACTGCTGGCTCAGAATGGTAACTGCTGGCTCAGAATGGTAACACCTGGCTCAGACTGGTAACCGCTGGCTCAGACTGGTAACCGCTGGCTCAGAATGGTAACTGCTGGCTCAGAATGGTAACAGCTGGCTCAGACTGGTAACCGCTGGCTCAGACTGGTAACAGCTGGATCAGACTGGTAACCGCTGGCTCAGACTGGTAACAGCTGTCTCAGACTGGTAACAGCTGGCTCAGACTAGTAACTGCTGGCTCAGACTGGTAACCGCTGGCTCAGAATGGTAACTGCTGGCTCAGAATGGTAACACCTGGCTCAGACTGGCAACTGCTGGCTCAGACTGGTAACTGCTGGCTCAGACTGGTAACCGCTGGCTCAGACTGGTAACTGCTGGCTCAGACTGATAACCGCTGGCTCAGACTGGTAACCGCTGGCTCAGACTGGTAACTGCTGGCTAAGACTGGTAACCGCTGGCTCAGACTGGTAACTGCTGGCTCAGACTGGTAACCGCTGGCTCAGACTGGTAACACCTGGCTCAGACTGGTAACCACTGGCTCAGACTGGTAACAGCTGGCTCAGACTGGTAACACCTTGCTCAGACTGGTAACAGCTGGATCAGACTGGTAACCGCTGGCTCAGACTGGTAACAACTGGCTCAGACTGGTAACTGCTGGCTCAGACTGGTAACTGCTGGCTCAGACTGGTAACCGCTGGCTTAGAATGGTAACTGCTGGCTCAGAATGGTAACACCTGGCTCAGACTGGTAACCGCTGGCTCAGACTGGTAACTGCTGGCTCAGACTGGTAACCGCTGGCTCAGACTGGTAACTGCTGGCTCAGACTGGTAACTGCTGGCTCAGACTGGTAACCGCTGGCTAAGACTGGTAACAGCTCGCTCAGACTGGTAACAGCTCGCTCAGACTGGTAACAGCTGGCTCAGACTCGTAACCGCTGGCTCAGACTCGTAACCGCTGGCTCAGACTGGTTCGCTCCTAGCATATTTTAAACTTCTGCAGTGAAACAGCAGCGTGTAAACATTGTTTCAGGTTTTTCATTACTTTAATCTGCTTAGTTCTGCTTTTTAATCATTCAAATTCAGATAATTTCTACTTTAATTGGTTCTTTAATAAAAGGATGGATGAATTGATCGTTTTCATATTTATTCCAGTCAGAAAGAGAACATTTAGACTCAGACTAAGGTTTATTTATCCCTTGGGATTACTCCTTCAGGGACATTCTGCTTCCAGTAGCTTATGTAGAGTACAAAGAGTTAAAGCAAGATGCCATTAAAGATAAAAAATATAACAGACAATATAAAAATAGTGTATACAGTACAAAAAGGCATAAAAAAGAAACAGTTGTAATGTCCTGGAATCTGTTCCTCCTCGATATACAAAATACACTATATTGCCAAAAGTATTTGCTCACCTGCCTTGACTCACATATGAGCTTAAGTGACATCCCGTTCCTAATCCATAGGGTTCAATATGACGTCGGTCCACCCTTTGCAGCTAGAACAGCTTCAACTCTTCTGGGAAGGCTGTCCACAAGGTTTAGGAGTGTGTTTATGGGAATTTTTGACCATTCTTCCAGAAGCGCATTTGTGAGGTCGCACACTGATGTTGGACGAGAAGGCCTGGCTCTCAGTCTCCGCTCTAATTCATCCCAAAGGTGTTCTATCGGGTTGAGGTCAGGACTCTGTGCAGGCCAGTCAAGTTCATCCACACCAGACTCTGTCATCCATGTCTTTATGGACCTTGCTTTGTGCACTGGTGCACAGTCATGTTGGAAGAGGAAGGGGCCAGCTCCAAACTGTTCCCACAAAGTTGGGAGCATGGAATTGTCCAAAATGTCTTGGGATGCTGAAGCATTCAGAGTTCCTTTCACTGGAACTAAGGGGCCAAGCCCAGCTCCTGAAAAACAACCCCACACCATAATCCCCCCTCCAACAAACTTTACACTTGGCACAATGCAGTCAGACAAGTACCGTTCTCCTGGCAACCGCCAAACCCAGACCCGTCCATCAGATTGCCAGATGGAGAAGCGCGATTCGTCACTCCAGAGAACGCGTCTCCACTGCTCTAGAGTCCAGTGGCGGCGTGCTTTACACCACCGCATCCGACGCTTTGCATTGCACTTGGTGATGTATGGCTTGGATGCAGCTGCTCGACCATGGAAACCCATTCCATGAAGCTCTCTGCGCACTGTTCTTGAGCTAATCTGAAGGCCACATGAAGTTTGGAGGTCTGTAGTGATTGACTCTGCAGAAAGTTGGCGACCTCTTCGCACTATGCGCGTCAGCATCCGCTGACCCCGCTCCGTCAGTTTACGTGGCCTACCACTTCGTGGCTGAGTTGCTGTCGTTCCCAAACACTTCCATTTTCTTATAATACAGCTGACAGTTGACTGTGGAATATTTAGGAGCGAGGAAATTTCCCGACTGGATTTGTTGCACAGGTGGCATCCTATCACAGTTCCACGCTGGAATTCACTGAGCTCCTGAGAGCGACCCATTCTTTCACAAATGTTTGTAAAAACAGTCTGCATGCCTAGGTGCTTGAATTTATACACCTGTGGCCATGGAAGTGATTGGAACACCTGATTCCAATAATTTGGATGGGTGAGCAAATACTTTTGGCAATATAGTGTATCTACACAGTAGGAGAGCTACGGAAAGACTACAGAGTAGTTGGCTTGGGTTATTGCACTTATACTGCAGAGATGCACTGAGCTTTGAAATAAGTGAACTATTTCACTGACTGCACAGTAGTTGGAATGGGTTATTGCACAGTGAGAGAGCAGTTGAAACTCGCTCATTCTGATCCTTCAGAGATTATTTCCCCACCAGAACCACAAATAAGAGTAAATATTAACGTGGCGTATGCAGCCATGAACGCTGGACGCCCTACGAACAGCTCAGCTAGGTTGGGACTCCCTTCCTGGGCGGCAGACACAGCGTTAGGGGGTTACAGCAGCGATCAGGCGCTCAAAGCCAAGCACAGCGATGCAAGAGGCGGCAAAAACAGGGAGACGTGGAAGAGACCACGGGACAAAAGAAAGAGGAGACAGAAGAGCTGCTGTGTGTGTGGTCGGGATGGGGGTGGGGGGGGGGGTTACCTTCAGGTCCCTCCTCTCCAGGTGCAGCAGCTCTGAGCCTCGGATGTCGTGCCGTGTGAAGGTGTCTCTGTACTCGCCCAGACTCAGCTGCTCCAGCCAGACGCCCACCTCCTCTGTGCCCCACCTCTCCACTACTCACACACACACACACAGAGCAGAGCAGAGGGGGGCTCAGAGCGCCTCACAGGAACCACTTCACCTGATCCTCACTCATTTCACACACAGGTATGGAAATTGTGTCACACACACAGAGGAGCTCACAGATGGACACAGGCTGTGGTAAATTACAGGCAAGGAAGGAGGAAGGAGGAAGCAGAGGTGGCGGCTGGCAGGGAAGGAGATGGAGAGGCTGACGGTGAGGAGGGGAGGAGGAGGAGGAGGAGGAGGAGGCGCTCATGCATGTCTCCAACTGAACACAGCAAAAGGTCAAAGGAGGCAGAAGCTTGTTTGGTCTGCAGGAAGTTCAGCCGGAGATGAGAGGAAGACCTTTGGCCCTTTCTGTCTGCATAGCGGATATGAACTCAGACAGTCTATCGGAGCGCAGACCTTCCTTCCAGAAACTCCATGGGAGCATGAATGAGGAGGGGGGAGGGGGGGGTGACACGGTGGGATGTAACACTTCAACCACACCAACGTTATGCATGATGACACTCATCCTCTGTCCTCCATGTCAGTAAAGAACCTTTGACCTTTGACCCAGGTGGCCGTGTGCGTCCGTACCTGACTGAGGGCTCATCTTCTTGGCCGCCTTCTCCTTCTTGAACTTGGGAACGATGCGAAACACGCTGCTGCGACTGTTCCTCTTGCCGTAACCCAGAGCGTGGTCCTGGTACATAAACACAGTCAACCTACAGCCTTTCATTTAGCCGCCCTCAGGTCACGCTAACATCACAGCACCGTTACCGTGGCAACTCCGTTACCCGCCAGCTACATTAACAGGGTTTATACAGGGTTACTCTAATTTAATGCTCTTAGAAATCATTTTAATGCCCTCAACAAGTTCCTGTGACTCATAGAATACAGCAAAATCCTTCTTAGTCTTTAGACTACATGCTGAAGCCATGTCCTGAATTCCTCGTTTTTCAGTTACTTTTGTTGAAATTAGCATTTTTCTATTCTAGCTGTTTCTCCGCCTCGAGCTTCTTTTTCAAACATACGGCTTTACGATAAACAGGAAGCAGTTCCACACAAATATATCACGATATGACATATCAACTTTTGGAATCAGAAGAATAAGCCTTTGAACATGTTTAGCAGCAGAAGCGCCCCCTAGTGGCTGCCGTCACACAGTGCTGCTTCTGATTCATATTTAATCACTGATACTTATTAACACTTATTGGAGGTTTTGTATTCAGAGGCTGAAGCTATCAGAGCTCAGAGATGTTCTTTATCTATGCTGGTTCTGACAGACGGTCTCAGAGGTCCAGGTTCTGGTCTCAGAGGTCCAGGCTCTGATCTCAGAGGTCCAGGTTCTGGTCTGAGAGGTCCAGGTTCTGGTCTCAGAGGTCCAGGCTCTGATCTCAGAGGTCCAGGTTCTGGTCTGAGAGGTCCAGGTTCTGGTCTCAGAGGTCCAGGTTCTGGTCTCAGAGGTCCAGGTTCTGGTCTGAGAGGTCCAGGTTCTGGTCTCAGAGGTCCAGGTTCTGGTCTCAGAGGTCCAGGTTCTGGTCTGAGAGGTCCAGGTTCTGGTCTCAGAGGTTCAGGTTCTGGTCTCAGAGGTCCAGGTTCTAATCTCAGAGGTCAAGGTTCTAATCTCAGAGGTCCAGGTTCTGGTCTCAGAGGTCCAGCTGGAGCTGTCCGGTTCTGGTTACAGTTTACCCCATTAGTTCTAAACAAGAGGCTGAATTTATGCAGTAGAAATGTTGTTTAAACACATTTACCTGCTAATTTGTACATGAACCAGACTTTTAGGGGACCTCCAGTCTGTGTCATCCAAACGGGCCACCCCACCCCAGACCCAACCCCACAGACACAACAGACTTTATCTAGGACCAGCCAAGGACCAGCCCAGGACTAGCCCAGGACTAGCAAAGGACCAGCCAAGGACCAGCCAAGGACTACCAAAGGACCAGCCAAAGACCAGCCAAGGACTAGCAAAGGACCAGCCAAGGACCAGCCCAGGACTAGCAAAGGACCAGCCAAGGACCAGCCCAGGACTAGCAAAGGACCAGCCAAGGACCAGCCCAGGACTAGCAAAGGACCAGCCAAGGACCAGCCAAGGACTAGCAAAGGACCAGCCAAGGACCAGCCCAGGACTAGCAAAGGACCAGCCAAGGACTAGCCCAGGACTAGCAAAGGACCAGCCCAGGACTAGCCCAGGACTAGCAAAGGACCAGCCAAGGACCAGCCAAGGACTAGCAAAGGACCAGCCAAGGACCAGCCAAGGACTAGCAAAGGACCAGCCAAGGACCAGCCCAGGACTAGCAAAGGACCAGCCAAGGACCAGCCCAGGACTAGCAAAGGACCAGCCAAGGACTAGCCCAGGACTAGCAAAGGACCAGCCAAGGACTAGCAAAGGACCAGCCAAGGACCAGCCAAGGACTAGCAAAGGACCAGCCAAGGACCAGCCCAGGACTAGCAAAGGACCAGCCAAGGACCAGCCCAGGACTAGCAAAGGACCAGCCAAGGACTAGCCCAGGACTAGCAAAGGACCAGCAAAGGACCAGCCAAGGACTAGCCCAGGACTAGCAAAGGACCAGCCCAGGACTAGTCCAGGACTAGCAAAGGACCAGCCAAGGACTAGCCCAGGACTAGCAAAGGACCAGCCCAGGACTAGCCCAGGACTAGCAAAGGACAAGCCTTGGACCAGCCAAGGACTAGCCCAGGACTAGCAAAGGACCAGCCCAGGACTAGCCCAGGACTAGCGAAGGACCAGCCAAGAACCAGCCAAGGACTAGCCCAGGACTAGCAAAGGACCAGCCAAGGACCAGCCAAGGACTAGCCCAGGACTAGCAAAGGACCAGCCCAGGACTAGTCCAGGACTAGCAAAGGACCAGCCAAGGACTAGCCCAGGACTAGCAAAGGACCAGCCCAGGACTAGCCCAGGACTAGCAAAGGACCAGCCATGGACCAGCCAAGGACTAGCCCAGGACTAGCAAAGGACCAGCCCAGGACTAGCAAAGGACCAGCCAAGGACTAGCCCAGGACTAGCAAAGGACCAGCCAAGGATCAGCCAAGGACTAGCAAAGGACCAGCCAAGGACCAGCCAAGGACTAGCCCAGGACTAGCAAAGGACCAGCCCAGGACTAGCAAAGGACCAGCCAAGGATCAGCCCAGGACTAGCCCAGGACTAGCAAAGGACCAGCCAAGGACTAGCCCAGGACTAGCAAAGGACCAGCCAAGGATCAGCCCAGGACTAGCCCAGGACTAGCAAAGGACCAGCCAAGGACTAGCCCAGGACTAGCAAAGGACCAGCCCAGGACTAGCAAAGGACCAGCCAAGGACCAGCCCAGGACTAGCCCAGGACTAGCAAAGGACTAACCCAGGACTAGCAAAGGACTAACCCAGGACTAGCCCAGGACTAGCCCAGGACTAGCAAAGGACTAGCCCAGGACTAGCAAAGGACCAGCCAAGGATCAGCCCAGGACTAGCCCAGGACTAGCAAAGGACCAGCCAAGGACTAGCCCAGGACTAGCAAAGGACCAGCCCAGGACTAGCAAAGGACCAGCCAAGGACCAGCCCAGGACTAGCCCAGGACTAGCAAAGGACTAACCCAGGACTAGCAAAGGACCAGCCAAGGACTAGCCCAGGACTAGCAAAGGACTAGCCCAGGACTAGCAAAGGACCAGCCAAGGACTAGCCCAGGACTAGCAAAGGACCAGCCAAGGACTAGCCCAGGACTAGCAAAGGACCAGCCCAGGACTAGCCCAGGACTAGCAAAGGACCAGCCAAGGACCAGCCAAGGACTAGCCCAGGACTAGCAAAGGACCAGCCCAGGACTAGCCCAGGACTAGCAAAGGACCAGCCAAGGACCAGCCAAGGACTAGCCCAGGACTAGCAAAGGACCAGCCCAGGACTAGCCCAGGACTAGCAAAGGACCAGCCAAGGACTAGCCCAGGACTAGCCCAGGACTAGCAAAGGACCAGCCAAGGACTAGCCCAGGACTAGCAAAGGACCAGCCAAGGATCAGCCCAGGACTAGCCCAGGACTAGCAAAGGACCAGCCAAGGACTAGCCCAGGACTAGCAAAGGACCAGCCCAGGACTAGCCCAGGACTAGCAAAGGACCAGCCAAGGACTAGCCCAGGACTAGCAAAGGACCAGCCCAGGACTAGCCCAGGACTAGCAAAGGACCAGCCAAGGACCAGCCCAGGACTAGCAAAGGACCAGCCAAGGACCAGCCAAGGACCAGCCAAGGACTATCAAAGGACCAGCCAAGGACTATCAAAGGACCAGCCAAGGACCAGCCAAGGACTAGCAAAAGACCAGCCAAGGACTAGTCAAGGACTAGCAAAGGACAGCCAGGACCAGCAAAGGGACAAGCAAAGGGACCAAGCCAGGACAGCAAACGACAAGCAGGGACCAGCAGGGTCCAGCAAGGACAAGCCAGGGACCAGCAAAGGACAAGCCAGGGCACCAGCCAGGGACCAGCAAAGGACATGCCAGGGACCAGCCCAAGGACCAGCAAAGAGACAAGCAGGGAAAGCAAAGGGACAAGCCAGGGACCGCAAAGGACAGCAAGGACAAGCCAGGGACCAGCCAAAGGGAAGACCAGGGACCAGCAGGGAACAGCAAAGCGACAAGCAGGGACCAGCCTGGGAACCAGCAAAGGGACAAGCCAGGGACCAGCCAAGGCCGCCAAGGACCAGCAAAGGGACAGCCAGGGACCAGCAAAGGGACAAGCCAGGGACCAGCCAAAGGACAAGCAAAGGACAAGCCAGGACCAGCATAAGGACAAGCAGGGGACCAGCCAGGGACCAGCAAAAGGACAAAGCAGGGACCAGCCAGGGACCAGCAAAGGGGACAAGCCAGGGACCAGCCAGGCGACCAGCCAAGGACAGAAAGGACAAGCCAGGGACCAGCAAAGGACAAGCAGGGACCAGCAAAGGACAAGCCGAGGGACCAGCCAAGGACCAGCAAAGGTACCGCCACAGGACAAGCCTAGGTCAAGCCAAGAACCAGCCGAGGACCACCAGGGTCCATCAATGAAAGTGGGGAAATTTTGATGACTACTACTGTTTTATTCAGAGTTTTTCAACAGTGTTTTCACCAGATGCATTAATGTGTTTACGTGTTTCAAAATTTGTTAATGCAACTGTTACCTTTGGATTTAAATAACACCACTGACCATCCCTGTTTCAGAAAAGCAAGCAGCGCCCTGATAAGCGTGCAGTTTTGCTCCCACTTTAGAAACAGGCTTTTCCAAAAATATGGGCCACATGCACTGGTACCAGGTATTGATGAAGAGTTAAATCAGGATCTCTATTAGCTTGTTACCAGACTGAAAAAATGAATGGCTCAGAAGTTTCTTGCTGCTTTAAATTTGGTGCACTAATACAGGAAATACTTTATGTGGCTCTATAAACAGATTTTCAAATTTATTTATTTTCAGCTGTATCTTCTCTGCTGGCGGTGAATAAGACTTGCTCTCTGGGCAGAAAAGACACCTGGTCATCGCTACACCTTCCTCCCAGCCAGAGAACAGCTTTTCCCCTTGCCTTCTCCACTGAGTCCATCAAACCCCATGCTGTTGGCCACAGAGGAGATTATAAACAAGTACCATATGGCAAGGGTCATCTTCTGCAAATGCTCAAGCAGCACAAACAAACTCTGAGTTACAAGGTGGAAGCTCGAGGCAGGGGATGGTCCTGGGGATGGTGATGAAGGATGGCCACACCCAGAGATTTACATCTCTGCTTATGGAGCGTTTAAAAGGGCAGAGGAAGAGGGTGATGTTCAGGAAGTGGCAGTAGGAGGCAGCAGTCAGGCACAAGATGATTAGTTACGCACTTCTGCCTACGACAACCTGGGACAGAACCTCTCTGTCTCACGCCATGCAGATGTTCCC